CTAATTTTCAGGGTTCTTGCTTCTCTAAAAGATTTCTTTAACAGTGCTACTTTCTGATTCATGCAATGAGCTGGAGGTCTGCATACATTTCTGCAGAGATGTCTTGCAAAGATTAGTGAAGAATCACTTTACCAATAGGTGCCACTGTTGCTCAACACGTTTATGTCTGAATCATCAATGTCCTTCAGTTCAAAATAAATTCAACCTCAAAATAAATAAATAAATAAATAAATCACAGTGACTAAAATGTATCTCTGTGCAGAGGTAGAACTCTGAATACATTCTGGCCATAGGTTTGTCCATGCCACCAGTAACATACGTGCTTTATCTTGTGCCTAAAAATATTTACAGTATTGTTAATATTGAGCAAAACTGTTGAAGGAAGAGATAAATATGCAATTGAATTAATTACAGATACATTTAATCTAAGACTTTAATTTGATGCATGTTTATTGTTGAACCTCAGACCCACAGCAGCTGAACCTTGCAGATATCTTCTCTGGACCAAGCATGATTTAAATGCAGAACTTGCACCAAACTGGAATAAGAATTTGGACTTCTGTCAGCACTAAGTATCAGGGTGCCCCATCCAGCAACGTAAAGGCCACCAACTGCTATTTTTTCTGGGCTTACTGTTTGGTAATATAAGGCCAGCTAATGTAGTTTGCAGCTTATCTACCCTTAAGTGCTGTTCAGTATGTAAAGCCAAGGGCAGCTGAGGTCTGCTTGCTAACTACGTTCGGAGAAACCTTGGTTCACCTTGTCCTTAGGTATTCAGACATTTCATATGCTAACTTTACTTTTGGATGTTTCAGGCATGTTATGGAATAATACAAGTTTCTTTTCTCCTTTCTCTGGAAAGAAATATATAACAAGCTGTATAAAAATGAAGTAACAACTAAGGACAAAGCAACTAGAGATTTATAACCTTTCAGGTTCTGTCCCACTTTGCTTTTTTTAATTCAGCTATTCATTGATTAGAGTCTGACAGGTATAAATTTTGTTTTCAGTGATTTAATATCTTCTGTTGAAAAAATATTCCCAGCCATCTGCAGCTCAGAACGTAACCCAGCAACTTGTTCTAACCAGCAGTCAGCCCTCCCTCCGCCTGCGTAACCTAATTCCCATTCCTTCCGCACAGAACAGATCACTCTTACGTATATGAGCAACAAGCTGTATTAAGTAGTACTTAAGATCACACTAAGCCGTTTACATAGAGGCATCTCTTGCTTTTCTGTCTCTCACTAGCTGGCCGAGGGCTTGTAGATATTTCTGACTCTCTTCATAGTCCAGGATTCTATCAATATTACGGGGACGACGTCCCTGCCTGGAAGGGAGGCCATGAGTTGTAGCAAAAGCAGAAACTGGTGGCTTTTCATAGGAAATGGTGTAGACACTCGTCATCATTCCAGCTTCTTTCTTGTGCCGTTTTTTCATCAGGTGCTCGAGCAGGCCGTAGTTGGTAGGTGGTTCTGAGACAAGAAATGGTTAAATGTTATGAATGATAAAATTAAATATTTGGTCCTGGTGTTGTTATTCCACAAGGGGCACGGGGAATGCTTGTACTATTCTGACAACAGATTAAGGACGGACTGAGATCTTTTTGTTCCCATGGCATGTGTGCATCCCTCTGGCTGGAGGGGAAAATCACTGCTAGGTATTGCTAGGAAAGCAGTAAAGATACAAATGTAGGAGTCTTGATTCTTCATAGTCTCTCTGGTAAGTATTAAAGAAATTACCAGAGGTGTATATATCACTTAAATTCAGAAACATACTAACACTCGGTGAATTCTCCTGCCAGTTACACCTCACAGGTCCCCTTGTTTTCAGCTGCTGTCTGGTATTATTGCATAGGTAAGAGCAATGTTTCCACTGAAGGTTTATCCTACACTGCTTCCCTGCAGTCATTAAGTGTAGTTACAAGGATAACATTTCCACTTTAGTGATCATAAAACTAAGCTACTGACTGGGTAAGAAAGCAGCTAAACTTCACTGGAAAATCCATTTTCAGACTGATTTTAAAAACAGAAGGGCTGGCTCTAAGTCTATATGTTCACCACTGCACCATTTTATGTTTGAATTAATAACAACAAAAGCTACCAAGAATGGGGAAATCTGATTTCTGAGGAATCCAGGCAAGCTTGCGTCCATTCCAGGTGCGGAGGGGAGGCAGCAGAGGGTCATAACCGTGTCTATTGTATTTATCGTCATACTCTGATACTAAATTTCGGCTTCTTGGTTCCTCGTGATGTGTGAAGAAGTGCTGTGCTGGCAGGCCCTGCAATGAGATGCACACGAAACCATGCCATTTGTCTCAGTGCATAGCATTCAGATGGCTTAGCATGTTTTTGAGTCCAACTGTGCTACCAGTGATACCACAAAATTTTGTAAATGCTTACGTTACTTTTACTTACAACTTAATCCCTGAAAATAAAGGCATTTGCCTTTAAAGGAAAGTAAATTTCCAGTTAAGAAACAACATCTGTACACTGTGAGATCTGATTTGTCTGATTTCAAGACATTCATCATACATTTGCAGGAACATTTAAGCCTGCAACTGAGAAGCTGATTTTCTCGTGCTGCTGGAATGTTGCATTGTGCATTAGCATTTCACATAGTCTCTAGCTGTCTGTCAGGAGAGAATGATCAGCATATCTGGGGATGGAGAAGTACATTAGAGGAAAGGACATTCTACCAAATGATACTTATGGGAAAAGTGTTATTCTGGGACTCATTTAAATGTAGTTCATTCGTATGAATTGGGGCTGTGCCAATCATCTTTTACCAGCAAGGTCTTACTAAAGCCCACAGAATGTCCTGAAGACATGATCCCCAGTCCTAGCTAGTAACATGCTGATTTTCTTTATGGACACTGGTTTCCCTACCAGGCAGATACTGGGTAAACAATCAGAAAGAACCAAGGAGTACATGCTGTTTGTCTGCCTAGAGGCATCCCACTTTAATCATGCCTACAAGGGAGCGCTTTGGATCCTGTAAAGTGGCCATAGAGCTGCAGTGCCTTCTTTTACACGTATACGTGTTTAGGGATATAAAACGTGACATAGGTAGTAGTTATAAATCATTGCTGTTATGGATTGTTAGCACACACAACCCTGCATCTGAATTTTTTTTTTACTTACCTCGTATTTCTTCCTCATGGTTCTTCTTACTGTTTGTTCTGGTTTGTGATCTGGGAAGCAAACGAAGTCTGTGCTGTATATGCTGTGGCCAAGTTTCCCAGTGGGTTTTATAAACTAGAGAGATATACAACACTCAGGGGATGGCAAATACAACCTGGTAATTACAGAACCTCTGTTCCAGAGCTACTTTTTTAATCTATGCATTTTAAAAGCACTTATTTGAAAGGAACTCTGCACCACAAACTTATCCGCAGATAATAAAATCAGCCGATGCAATCAGCCATTGTAAAATTCTGGACTGATTCTCTGGTGTAAATATAAGATGCAAGACAGCCCTTGAAAAATTATTCATGGTTTGGTGTTAAATACTGTCACCTGCCGTGTGAACTAACATCGGAAAAGGACAAATTAACCCATTTTTCTCTCTTTTTCCCAACTTCCTGACACAGCAGGCCAGGCTTTGCAATATATTGTCTAGCATTTTGCTCAAGTCCAGTTGGAAAAATACAAAGAAATGTTATGTCTTCTCTGGAAGACTGTTCCCTGTCTTATTTCTTCAGTTACAAAAGCTTTTTTTTAATATTCTCATTACTTTTCAGTTTATTTCACCCTCATTTATAATCTAGTGAAATACTTTATGGATTTCTTTTTTCTACATAATTTTTATACCCTTAAACTATGTAAACTATGTTCATCTTCTGAGATCACATCAGATTTCATAAATGTCAGGGGAAAAAAAAATAAAAAAATAAATAAAAAATCTAAAGGAAGTAATTTTAGTGGAGTCAGGAGAATTTGCCCTGATAGCTCCAATATTGAACCTAACTGGCATGTTTTAACAAAATTAAATGTGTAATGATAAAATTTTGTTCAGCTCCTAAGTAGGACATGCAATCTGTAGAGCAGCTCTGCTAGCAAAACATGCTTGTTTGCACAAATGAAACCAACATCCAAATTATCAAGGATCCTTTGATACTACTAATAAGTATCAACTTATGGAAGGGCAAAAGAAGCCTCTATTGTATAATACTGTTATATAATATTAAGTTGTACATATGGTTGCTGTATAGTTGTATATATGATTGTTGTATAGTTGTATATATTATTAAGTTTTATAGCAGTCTATAGCATTTTTAATTGGGAAACTTTGTATCTTGTGTGAACCACATCACATACACGGTGCTCAGACTTTGCTTCTGTCCTGACTTAGAGATAAGAAAGGCAGATCATCAAATGAATGAATGGAGGCCAAGCAAGATGCTTAATCTTCTCTCTTTTATTACTCTTCTGAGATGAGCCTGCACTCCAGCTCCCCCTGCAGCTGTGTACTGTTTGCAGAGAATTGATTTTGACCCATTCTATCCTTCTCTCACACTTCTTTCATGCTCTTACCCTTTTTCTCTCTTCCAGCCAGTTTCCAATGAGAACTCTAGTAGAGTATTTTGGTTCAATTTTCCACCAATCCCGTCCATCTTTAATAGATGCAATCATATTTCTTTGTCTCACCAGTGTTCCCCTCCCTGGCTGTTGAATAACTGTTCTTCCAGTTTTGTGGATGAAAGATTACTCAGTAATCCAGTGCTAAGACAAGGGCAGAGAGGGCTCTGCCTGCCACAGTGCTGGAAAGCATGGGAGATGTGCGAATCTGCTTAGCCTTAGAACCACTTGTGTTTGCTGTCCCCACAGTGACCTAACCACATTCTAGGCTGCATCATAATTCCAACTGAGTGAAACAGTGGCTCCTAACCCACTCAATTAAGGTATCTTTTTTTCTCTAATAGAGCTCACAATCAGAGCACTGTGATAAGTGATTTACTTGTTTACACCAACACACCACACACACCTGCACTACACCCAGTCTTTCTTCATAGATGCATAAACACATTTTATTTTAAACGAGTAGGATGAACCAGGATGTCCATTCAAAATAATGTTTTTATTTATTGACATAGCTAAAGATAAGAGCTTGCAGCATGGTACAAGCATGTATAACATTTGCATATTCCATGGTCCAACTAACAGCTGGAATGCGTTTCACATGAGCCTTGTTTATCATTGCTAATGGCCACCTTTGACTGACTACTCATCACCTGATATTAAATATCCTAAAAAGATATTTTTCTAGCTTGAGGCATGAACAGACTCGTGGAATCTAAGATGTTTACTATAAGCCTTTTAGGAAGTTAACAACGCTGTCCAATCCCCTTTTACCAGATGGAAATGACAACCCCGCATAATCATACAGACTTATGATTCCATGGAATCCATCCTCAAGGTGGTACCAGGTCACTCGAACTCCATTGTCCTCCAGTCTCTTCTTGTACAGCAAGCCGTCGTCCCTCAGCACATCATACTCACAAGTCAAGATGAAAGACTCTGGCAGCTGGTGAACAATAGCATCTTCAGCTAGCAGGGGACACAGGTTGGGCTCACAGAATCTTTTCACTGTCTCATAAACTTCAGCCACAAAATCAGTGGGCCTAAGTGGCTTCACACCTCTGACCTTAAATTTTTCAGGGATGTTGTCTGCACTCACCCACTTCCTGTACTTCAGCCTCATATCTGGAGGAATATGAGAGCCCTCCAAGACCTCTTGCATATGCGATGCATCCCCATTTAGGTATTGCAAAGCAAAAAAAGCAGCACGTTCTCGGAATAAGAGAGGGACTCCTCGATTTTGCTGATAGGAAGGTAAATTGAAGTCTAGCGCCTGAAGGCCTGGGTAGATCAAGATCTGAGAGCGTAGCTTGGGGAGGTCTGATCTTCCTGCCAGGGTCTGGCTAACGGCAGCTGCTAGATTGCCCCCTGCACTGTCCCCACAGACACTTATACGGGCAGGGTCCACCCCGTAGTGTTCTGTGTTCCTCATGAAGTGTATGGTAGCATTAAGACAGTCTTCATATGCAGCAGGGTATTTGTGTTCAGGAGCTAAACGGTACCTGATACATAAAGAGACAAGTATAGGAGAAGGAAATGTCATTAGTATTAATTTGGAAATGCTATCCTACAGTGCTTTGCAACCCTATTGTTTTGGGGTATTTTTCCTTCATGTCAGGATATTCATTACCTTCTAAGCAGGCATTTCTCAGCTAGTGATTGCAGATAAGTTGTAAATTGTGTGTTCAGTCACAAAGACACAGGAAAGTAGGATTGTCTTCTAATTAAGTAACTGAATGAGACATTGTAATTCATTCCTTAGTTGTGCTGAAACCCCCAGTGTATTCTTGACAAGATTATTTAATGATTTTGTGCCTCTGCTTTCTATGTGTAAGAATGGGATTAATATTGTGTGATTATTCTCTCTTTGTCTGTAAATTACAAGTGTTTGGAACATCTCACTGTATGTTTATGTTCAGCACAAAGAAGACTTTTTACCTAAGTTCTAAATTGGCTTTTTTAGATTTTCTTATTGTGGCAAATATTCCTATTGGAGTCTTTTCTGAGTATATCAGTGCATGAACAGTTAGGAGCTGTGAAATCACAGCTATCACTATTTGTCTCTTTATGTACTTTCTTGAATTCTTTAGATTTTTTTTTTCTGTAAAATATAACATCTCCAAAAACAGTGCAGCTCTACTGTGGCACCACAGCAACAATAATCTCTGAACAATAGAACTGGGTAAGGCTCACTTACTGAACAGATACAACTACTGATCCACTTTCTCTAGATATGTAGCGGCACACTTTTTCATAGGTATCTGGAAAAGAAATATTTTTATTAGTATTTTGCTAGTGACCTAATCTTTGAGACATCGAGGGAGTATGCATTTCTAGAAAGGTGTGTATTTCTTTTCAGACTTTCTCCAAAATCACACACTTAAACCTCCTCTCATTTCAATTTAATGAAAACATGAGAATATTCTTTGTACGTTATTATAATTCCTCCAGCACGTATCTTACCAAGACTTCCAAACACCCAGCCTCCTCCATGAAAGAAGATGATAGCTCTCCTTCGCCTGTGTGATACAGCTTTAGGCTGGTAAACCCTCACAGGTACTTCGTTAAACTGCAGATCCTGGATAAAGAGCTTTGGGTCTACCCTTAGTCTCCGTCCTTGTCGCACGTATCGGCCAAAAGTGATTTGACTGCAAAGCCCTGTCTTCTCCAAAATCCTTCCCTGTTAAAGGTAAAAGAAATTAAGGCTACTTAAAAAGTCTTGATTTAGCCAAGTTATAAAAACTCTGAGTCATATTTACCTTGAACTCCATTTGAGGAAAATTTCAAAGAAACACAAGGTTCACAAGACAAGAAGTGGTAATGTAAAACATTAATATTCTACAATAAAATGCAATCGTAACAATGTAATAAGTTAGAATACATGAGGACCACTCTTAGAAGATAATGGCTATGCAAGTATCTCCTAAACCCTTTCTAAATGGCTTCTTGTATTCTAAGTACTGCTAGGAGAGTTCGTTCTCATAGGTTGTTTAGTCCCTATTTTGCCTTCATAAACTCTTGGAAAACAGTGAGGAAACGTAACTCTGCAGTTGGTTTTCTTGGTAAGAATGTCCAGTTCTAAGAAAGTGAGAGATCTCGGGATAGAGTCAAAAAATTGTATTTCTTTTAAGAGTACCTAGGTTAGTTTTACCGAGGAGAACTACATTATATCGTATTAGCAATCATTGGAATCTTCCAGATCATCTTCTGAAGAATCAGATGTAAAAATCTAGGCTTCACTTACAGCAATTTGACCCCTGTTGTTTGATAAAAATAAAGCTCTTTAATTCAGGAAAAACAAATTTCCGAGTATCTCACTTCCTATAGAGTAAAGAAACCTACTTCTATTACTAAAATCCAGTGTCATTCTATTATCTTATTAGCAATTTGATATAGTGCATCCAAACTGGCCATCTAGGAATACACATTTTAATTGTCCGTTTTGCCCATCACACCTTTGTGCTCATTGATAACAACAATTAAATGGTGTATACAGAAACATCCTCATAAACTCTTAATTCATCATTGCATAAGCTAATACTGCTGAATTAGACCATAAAACTCAGTGGATTTGCAAATCTGTAGTGCTGAGATGTGCTGTGCAAGTTAGTTACTGCTTTTTATTTGCACAAGAGACTTACTGAACAAAATCAAGAAGCATCCTTTCCCAGTGCTGTTGTGATGAGCTCACTAACTAGAATATAAACTCGATGTGTTAAGTGAACAAGTAAAGAGAAGGCGGGAACAAAATTAACCGAGTTCATCAGTGCACTCAGTTACTAAACAATTTTAAATGCTTAATGAGAGTCCTTATCCATTGCCTTGTTGCCTTCTGGTAGGATGCAGGGGAGCTGGGGAGCAGGGTAAGTGCATTTCGGGAGGATGCGCAGGGTGTAAGAAGCCGTGCAGGAAAACAAGGTCTGCGTGCTCAGGAAGGGGGATGTCGGGGCTAACGGAGCGAGCTAAAGATTTTCCGAAAATCCGAAGGTGCCGCAAGTGACAGAGGAAGCGTTTCGGAGAGCTCTAATGCCGTTTATGCAATGCTGTAAAAGTGAGCCCAGGGATTAAGTAAAGCAGCCCTAACCGGATTTTGCACCAGAAATGTCAGCAACCGCAGGAGCGGCCGAAGGGGCTGCGGTTTCCCCCCCTGCCCCAGGAGCTGCCTTCCCCTGCGGGCACCTGGTGGGCGACCCCCGGCTCGGCTCCCGCTGGGTTCCGCCGGCCCCGCACGCTCCTCCGAGGAACCGGCTCGGGTGCGGGGGGCCGGGGCGTGCCGGGGGGGGGGGGGCGGCTCCCGGGGCCGGGGCTGGGGGCGCCCGGGGGTCCCCGCAGCGCTCCGCGGGGCGGTCGCGGGACTCACCAGGGCCGCCGTGCCGAGGAGGACAGCCAGGACCAGGCGCAGCTTAGCGGGCTGGTTCACCCCGGGCGGGATCTCGTAGCTGGGCAGCCCGAGGAGCACCGTGCCCAGCACCAGCGCCGCCAGGGGCAGGAGCAGCAGCAGCAGCAGTAGCAGCGCCGCCAGCAGCGCCATGGCCCGGCGGCGGCCCCGCGGGGCTCCCCGGCCCGCGGCGGGGCCCGGCAGCGGCCGCTTCCCCCTCCGGACCCCCCCCGCCCCTGCAGGCCGGCGGCGTCACGGCCCCGTTTGTGACAGCTCCGCAAAGCCGCCGCCGGGGTCATGGTGCGGGCGGCCAGCGAGCACCGGGGGGCGGCCGCGCTGCTGGCGGCACACGGGCGTAATCTGGGTGCCGGGAGGCACGGCCTCAGCCGCGCGTCCCGGTGCTGAGCTGCACGTCCCGGTCCTGAGCCCTGCGTCCCGGTCCTGAGCTCGTTCGCCGAGAGCCTGAGCCTCTGCGGAGCCGCAGCCCGGCAGGGGCACCCGCGCTCCTGCCCGCTCCGTCCTCAAATCGCTGCGAGCATCCCTTAAATTTAGGTTTTCGCTGTCCAAAGGCGGCCTGCTGGAAGGGCAAGGCAAGCACTGCAAAGAGGTGACAGCTCAGATTTCATGAATAATGACTCTTACCCACTGGCTATGCTAGCTTTTCAATTACGTCTTTCATAAAAAGGTTCTCTGCTACGAGCAGGTACCACTGATAAATGTGCTTCAACAGACAGACCCATAATTGCTCAGGAATTTTAGCTGTTATTAAAAGAAGAACCTTACTCTGGTGAATTTCAGGAGAAAGCTTTCAACGTCACCTCTGTGTACACCCAGGGAAATCTGAAATATAGCATTTGTTCTGTAAAGACTAGGGAAATCAGAGATTTTATGATTTGCTTTTTCTTTTTTTTTTTTTTAATAGGATTTTCTTTTCCTCAGTCTTAAGATTTTGAATACATTCACCTCTGTTTCTCATTGCTTTCATCAGCAGAGTACAATAAAGCGTGAAATCAAGTGATGCAGCACTGCCTTGTCCTCTAATGAAAACTCAAAACATGGAGAAAAGTCACAGCACAGGGAACCTCACTCTGAAATAACATGAGAATATTTTGGTTCACATTTTCTCTCTCTTTAAGCTCAGCCTTTTACAATACACTGATCAGGAGCCCAGTTCCCTGATTGATACTGTCCTTCTAAAACCTGTCCTTAAGTGCTCCCTCTCAACCAATATCTCTTGCCCTAAGCTTCTGAGGGCATAGTGGAGACATCCCAATATGAACTAGGAGTTTATAGAGCCATGGTAATTTCAAAATCAGGGCTGGCCTTACTTGCTTTCAAGAAGGTGACCCAAATTAACACAGGCCTTCTACAGCTACTCTTCTTGCAGATGTGGTTCTGCAATGCCCACTGTATACATTGAATCTCCTTGCAGAGACTTTGATCTCTTCCTCTTTTTCTGTAGCTTTCCTCTAACTTCCCTCCAGCTCACTATGTACGTAACTTGCGTTTTTTATCTAAATAGGATAAAGTCATTCTTTGTAGCTTATCAAATGAACATCACAAAGATCCTGGCTGTAATTCACAGGAGTTATTAAATCGAAATCATTCCATGAAAAATGTTTACATGGACATAAATCATCTTTTAATTAAACACAAGTAATCAATCACATGCTGTTTTGATGGGAAATTGAAAAATAGCCTGTGGAAAATGCTAAAACCATAAAGGCTAAGCTCTCAATAGTCTCACAAGGACAAAGACCACTGTTCAGATGGGATTTGAAGTTCACTAATTTCAAAATTGGTATTTTTTACATCAAGGGGTATCATGTTTTTGCTGACAATTACTATCCAAGATTTGGGAACTTCCACTGATTTTCTTAGATAGAGAAACATTACCAAAGAAAGTTGTTTCTACAGGCCCTTTATAAATTTAACAACGCTGTCCAGTCCTCTTTTTGCAGAAGGAAATTTCAAAATTTGATAACCATATAGGCTCATGATTCCATGGAATCCATCCTCAAGGTGGTACCAGGTCACTCGAACTCCATTGTCCTCCAGTCTCTTCTTGTACAGCAAGCCGTCGTCCCTCAGCACATCATACTCACAAGTCAAGATGAAAGACTCTGGCAGCTGCTGAATAACAGCATCTTCAGCTAGCAAGGGACACAGGCTGGGTTCAAATTTCCTCTTAAATTCCTCAAAAATTTCAGCCTTGAATTCACGAGGTTTGTGTGGTCTGTAGCCTCTGGCCTTAAATTTTTCAGGGATGTTGTCTGCACTCACCCACTTCCTGTACTTCAGCCTTATATCTGGAGGAATATGAGAGCCCTCCAAGAGCTCTTCCATATGTGATGCATCCCCATTTAGGTACTGCAAAGCAAAAAAAGCAGCACGTTCTCGGAATAAGAGAGGGACTCCTCGATTTTGCTGATAGGAAGGTAAATTGAAGTCCAGCGCCTGAAGGCCTGGGTAGATCAAGATCTGAGCGCGTAGCTTGGGGAGGTCTGATCTTCCTGCCAGGGTCTGGCTAACGGCAGCTGCTAGATTGCCCCCTGCACTGTCCCCACAGACACTTATACGGGTAGGGTCCACCCCGTAGTGCTCAGTGTTCCTCATGAAGTGTATGGCAGCATTAAGACAGTCTTCATACGCAGCAGGGTATTTGTGTTCAGGAGCTAAACGGTACCTAAAACAAAGGAAACAAGAAGAGTAAGAGATGGAACAGTCTTAACTATAAATACAATTTTCCTAGCATCCTGCATTTCGTCATAACTTGCAATATTTTTTGTTCAGCAAAAAACAATGAAATACTCTGATAATCATGTATTTCTCCAGCAATTTATCACAGATAAGTTGCAAGGACATAGCATCACTGTGAACTTTTTCTTAGAAGAACCCTGAGTAGAACATGAGTGATACAAGTTCATTGTGATCTTCTGGTGTAGAGTGCATCTTCCTTGTGGATAATGTAATTTAATCAGGCTGCACCTCACCTTCACTTAGTGTATGTCTTTGAGAATTATTAAATTTTATTTTTCTTTATTTAAGCAATTGAGGCAGTTTTATTTTTCTGTCTTACCAGTTTTATATATTACCATTTGACTGTGTTAGAAACCTCACTGTAGTATATATCTAACTAAACAGATTACTGAACCACTGCCTTCCAGGTTTGTTCATTAGTCATTTAGCTCCTTAGAAAACTCTTCTAAGAAGCATTCCTCCTTTTCGTGTGGTGCCAGCATAGTTCTGCGTTGTGCTGAGGGATACCTGAAGGTTACGAGCGGGTCTGTTTGCAGTCTCTCTGCATCAGCAGAGAAGGAGAAAAGCCATATATACATATATATACGTACTTCAGAAGGGGAGTGTGGACTGAACTCACCCCACAGACACCACCACCGACTCGCTTTTTTTGGCGATGTATCGGCAGATGTTCTCATGGGAGTCTGCAAGAGGTGGCAGTGCGTTAGCTGCTGAGGCTCGGGGGGGACAGCGGCCGCCTTGTCCCACCCTGGCCGTGCCCCCCCGGCCCCTCACCCCCTCTCACAGCCCCTCTCGCAGCCCCTTCCCTCCCCTTCTCCCTTTTCCCCTCAGCCCCTTCCCTCCCCGCCAGGCGGGCAGCCCCGCTCCGCCCGCAGCCCTCCGCTGCCGAGCCTAACGGGGAAGCTGCGCCAGATTCCAGCCCAGGGTGCCGGGGAGGAGAAATTCGTCCCCCTCACACCTCAAGAAGCCGGCGGCGGCAGCTCAGGGCTGCGTTGGGGGCCGCCAACGCCCCGAGGCGCCCTACCGATGCTGCAGTACAGCCAGCCGCCGCCGTGGAAGAAGATGGCGCCCGGCCTCAGGCCGGCAGATGGCGCCCGGGGCCGGTAGAGCCTCACCGGCACCCGGCCAAACCGCGCGTCCACCAGCGAGAGCTGCGGGTCCGGCCCCAGCTTCCTCCCGGAGCGCATGTAGCGGGTGAAGGCGATCTTCGTGCACACCCCCAGCTTCTCCAAAATCAGCCCCTGTTCGGAGAGAGGGAGGAGAGGCGGGCTGAGCGCGGGGCGCCCCCCCCCCCCTCCTCCCCGGGGCAGCGGGCGGCCGCCTGAGGGGAGGCTGCCGCGCTGCCGAGCCCGGCCGCCGGGCAGGTTGCCGTGAGGGGAGACCCTGCGCCTGCCTTCCCCCGGCCGCTGCGGGGGCATCCAGGCTTCGTGGTAGCGGGATTCAGCCTCCTCCGGAGCCGCTCGCCGCTACCCTCGCCTTTGGCGGCTGCTCCGGCTGGGTCCTCAGCAGAAAGTCTGTCACGGGAGAAGATGGAGCCGTGGCGGTCCCCTGCGAGGCTGCGGGCCTGGGGGAGCGGGGTTGCTTTGGCACCGCGCGCCTGAGCAGGTAGGCCCACGCGTTGACCCCATGCCCTGTCAGGCAACAAGCTGTGGGGAAGAAGCCTGGGTGTTCCCTTCTCAGTGTCACCAAGTCCTACGGCTTCGTACCAGCCTCCCACCACTTACCACCTTCCAGCCCAGATGTCATCCCTCCAAGGTTTCCCAGGAGTCTCTTGTTTTAGCTGCTTAAAAAGCACCTGGCCGCCTACCAGCGTTACTGGAAAGCCCCATGAATGCCCCGAAAACATCGCCTGTGCTTAGCGAAAACAAAAATCAAAGCCATTTTGCTGTTAATAAATAATTCATTTAAATTGAGATAGGAGAGCTCAGCAGATACTGTTCGGGCTCATGGTTGGCTTCACCCTTAAGTTAATAGGGAAATCCTGAATGAAACTATCTGAGGTCTGATAGAAATGCTTCTGAAAAACTGCCCTCTGAAGCTAACAACCAAAATAAAAAAGAAAAAATAAAAATAAAAAGAAAGCTTTCATTTAAGTGTTAATGCTGCTAGCAGGATCCAGCTAATTATATATATAACGTGACCAAAAAAAAAAAAAAAACTAAATCCCACTTCTGGCAGAAATAACGGCAAAGTAACTCACCACAGCAGATGTACTAATCATAAAAGCAAGGACAATTCGAAGCTTTCCAGGATGATTCACTCCAGGAGGGATACTGACATTGGGGTAGTCAGACTGAATTGTTGTCCTAATTGCTGTTATGAATGAAGCAGTAAAAATCACCAGCAGTATCACTGACAGTATATAAAAAAATGCCATTTCACTTAACAAAAGATGAGGTGTCTCTATGCCTATCTTTGATTTAGTTTTCTCAGATAACGTGGACTCTTAGAGCAGTCCAAGTTCAAACAAGTTCCTCCAGCTGTCACGCTTAAAAGTCCTTGGAGATGTTGCGCAAGGTGCCAGCATGCATCACATTGGAGAAGAGGCAGAAGAAAACGTGTTTAATTTCCTGTTTAGTGTCTTGTTAATTGTGGGATTGATAAAGGGCGTGGTAGACTACATGGCATTCTTGGATTGTGGATATGTGTTGCTGTTTACAAGAGGAGCAAGCCAACTAACGTAGAGGTTAACTTGTCTCTTGCGTATGATCTGCAGCCACAACAGACTGCTTCTTGTGTTATAGACATTCTTTAAGTAGTTTGGAGTATATAGTCTTAACAAGGGCATTTAAAAAGGAAAAAAGCTGGCTAACATGGGCTCTACAAAAGTAAATGTGTTGACCTTGTTTTGTTCTTAGAGTATTTAAATATTGAAACAAGCTTATCAACGCACTCGTATGTCTGATAAATGTAGGAACATACTTAGAGCATTTCAAAGGTCCTCCATTGCTCTCTGCACAAAGCTGTTAACAGAGGAACGCTGTCAGGGGTGGTTGCGGTTTTGACTCCATTTTTGCAAGTCTAAAATACCAGTTGCCCAGCCCATGGAAATTTTATGGAAGATGGTGAGTGGGACTCTTAGGGTTGGAAGCTATGTGCAACATATAGCAAAGGCACTGATTTATAGTATTGTCGTATCAGTACCTTTCTCCTTAGCTGAAACGCACTTAGTCTTCTAGGAAGGATAAAAGCATAGATCATAATTGAATGAAATGGGTCAGACCAGATGTTGATTTAAAATTTTACAGCATCTTTAATATTTACAGAGAAAGTAGCAAGAGCCTAGTCCAAATAGATCATTAAAATAGAGACTGCATATGGAACATTTCAAATCACGCTAAACTAAACTTTCACAACATTCTTTAAATATACTTCTGGAGTGATCACGCTGGCATAATTACTCTGAAACTGTCCTATCTAAACCTCTTACATGGATTTTAGGAGCACGCATGAACGCAGAAAATTGGTAATTATTATGGAAAGAAAAAAATTTGTTTCTATAAGCTTTTTAGGAAGTTCACAATATTGTTGAGACCCCTTTCTCCAGATGAGAAGGACATCCAGTCACTGTTAGAAAAGCTGATGATTCCATGGAATCCATCCTCAAGGTGGTACCAGGTCACTCGAACTCCATTGTCCTCCAGTCTCTTCTTGTACAGCAAGCCGTCGTCCCTCAGCACATCATACTCACAAGTCAAGATGAAAGACTCTGGCAGCTGCTGAATAACAGCATCTTCAGCTAGCAAGGGACACAGGCTGGGCTCACAGAATCTTTTCATTGTCTCATAAACTGCAGTTGGACAGTCAAGTAGCACATGTGGTTTGTAGCCTCTGGCCTTAAATTTTTCAGGGATGTTGTCTGCACTCACCCACTTCATATAATTTAATTTAATATCTACAGGAATATGAGAGCCCTCTAAGACCTCTTCAATATGTGATGCATCCCCATTTAGGTACAGCAAAGCAAAAAAAGCAGAACGTTCTCGGAATAAGAGAGGGACTCTCTGATTTTGCTGATAGGAAGGCAAATTGAAGTCCAGTGCCTGAAGGTGTGGGTAGATCAAGATCTGAGCACGTAGCTTGGGGAGGTCTGATCTTCCTGCCAGGGTCTGGCTAACGGCAGCTGCTAGATTGCCCCCTGCACTGTCCCCACAGACACTTATACGGGCAGGGTCCACCCCGTAGTGCTCTGTGTTCCTCATGAAGTGTATGGCAGCATTAAGACAGTCTTCATACGCAGCAGGGTATTTGTGTTCAGGAGCTAAGCGGTACCTGTTAACGCAGAAGGAGACAACAAAAGAAAGAGAAGAAAATGTTGTTAATTTTAAACGTATTGCTGAAAATACTGATTCTTGCAACCAGCAATACATGGATTGCCTTAGAATTTTCCCTTTCTCCATAGGTTTTCTTAAATAAACTGTGAGTAGTAGCTTCAGGTAGTAGAGGTTAATTTGTCAGGACCATCATCAATTTTTGTGGCATTGCTCAGGTATTGAACAACACAGGACTACTCAGCTGCTAATTAAGTCCAGGTTTTATGGGCAGTTGTTTAATCAGTTTATGCTTCACCTTCACATGTGTCAAGTAGCAATGAGAGTATTTCCTTTCTATGTCTTTCTTGCTCCAACTCTATCATCATCATCCAAATAGCTGTTAGTATATTGATGATAATATTAGCTTGTCATTCATGTAATGCTCCTGTAAGCAGCAAGTATTTTCTTTGAACGAGGGTTAAGTAGAATATTTGACTTACTGTCTGTTTACTATCAATTTTTAGGTGGGAATTAAAAGCATGTCCTTCTTTTTCCAGTTAAATATTCATAAGCATTATTTGTGATTTGATCAGACAGTAAAAACTGAGTCAGTCTTTGGTGGTTTCAAACAAGAGCAGAGGAAATTTGCAAAAGCACATGCCTGACAAGTCCTTTGGAAATATCTACTGGGAATGGTTGTTGCTATGATCAGGCTAGCTATAAGGTGCTATTCACAGTGTAGGAAATAATCTCTTAAAATATGGCATAAGAAAAGACTCACCCAACAGATACAACCACTGAGTCACTTTCTCGGGCAAGCAAGCGGCATAGGTTTTCGTGAGTGTCTGAAAGAAACAGTCTCATTTGTGTTTTTGTTTTGGTATTATTTTTCTTTTGTTGTTGATTTTTCCCCCCTCAACAGTGCTGATGTCCATTGTGTATGACAAAGAATTGCAAAAGAAAAATACTGTCTACTTTTCTTTGACCCTTCCAACATAGCTCTGCAGATCTTTTTTACCCCCTTATCTTCCCTTTTCACTGTCTGTTTGCAGTTTGTTTTTTTGTCTCATATCTCGTTGTTCTTCTCTTTAAGAGAAGTCAGATAATGCATAGCAGATGCCTTCTTCTGAAAGCTTCTGTGGTTATACTCAAATTCTATAACTGCTACAGGTCAAGCAACAATCAACTTTACCATTTATGATGAGGTCGCTTTTTAAACTGAATTATAGTAATTTTTCTGATAGTTATCTTACCAACACTTCCAAGTGTCCATCCTCCTCCATGGAAAAACATAACTCCCCTCCTTTGGCTGGAAGTTGGAGCCTTAGGCTGATAGATCCTTACAGGCACATTCCCAAAACACAGGTCCTTGATGAAGAGCTTCTGGTCTGCTCCCGGAGTCCTTACACCTTGCATGTACCGGACAAAGTTAATCTCACTGCAGATCCCAATCTTTTCCAAAATCTTTCCCTGTTCAAAGGCAAAAAGAATAGGGAATTCACTCAGAAGATTTTGTATTTTCCCAAGTAAAGGAACTGCAATGTCAGCATACTCGTGATATCTAAGTCACGTCTTTTAGGAGAATCATTAAATATTTGAGTAGTTTTACAGGTGCAGTACAACTGAACAAGTAACAGTAGCATCGGGAGAGGTCACATGAAAAGCCATGTTCACCACAGAGCCTAATCCCAAGGCAATCCAGCATTAACAAAGACTGGTGAAGTATATCCCTTCGCTTTCTCAGCAGGTCCTTTACCTGCCATTGAAAATGAGTTTGGTTTTCATTTGCTGTTCTGTCTTTGCTCTCTGAGAAGGTGGGAAAACATAGTGAAAGATAACAGTTCCGGTGATGAGTTAAGATAAGAATGTATTTGATAACTGCCTTTTGATTCATCTCAGGAATATTGACTGGTGTTTGCAATATATTTGCAGGAAGTTCCTGAGGTATTTAGTAAGCCTGAGCACCTGCTCCTTCTTTAAGCAAGTGATACTCACACCAGGCACTTAAGGGTGAAAACAACCCAACTGAGAACTATAGGTCCCAGGTAACGTTACAAAAACAAAACAAAACCAAAAAGCCCTTAACTTCTTTTTTTAAATACTCTATTTACTCATTTAAAACTCTTCAAGCTCTTATTACACATTAGGGGTTTCCCATCAAAGACTGCCATGTTTCTGTGGATTGTCAGTACCGTGTTATTGCTCAATATACATGTACCTACCTGTGAAAGGCGTTTTATTCATCACTGACTGGCTGTTTATAGCTCTTCTCCATATTTGATTTTGAGGCTGAAGAAACTAACAAGCTTTGTACGTACTGATTTTAATTTTCTATAGAAACTAGTCTTAGTATTTCTGGTTCTATACAAACATGGTGAAATGATTTATTCTATTGTAATTTGCTGTTTTCCAAACAGAAATGGAATAACTACAAAGTTGTTCTCACCTTAACATTGAACTTGTTTATTTTTTTTTGTGTGTGTGTGGTGTTTTTTTTCATACTGTGTTATGTTGCAGCAGGTCTAGTTTATGGTACGAATGGGCAGTGTACATATGGTACAAAAAGAGCTGCCTTTTTCAACTGCTGGATTGAAGTCAGTGTTTTCTGATTACAACTTGTGTTGAGACAAAGCATGAGAATATACATGCTGGAATTCTTTAGTGTGATCCACTGTAATCTAGAATATTCCCAACTGATATATATGTATATATATATACACACACATATATGTCTGTGTGTGTATATATGATGTAATTTTAAAAGAATATGTCTCTTTTAGAGGTGCTATAGTAATTTATGGAGTTCGTGCACAACTTCTCACATATTCCTAGCCCTCCTATCAGCAAGCTTGAAAGCATGGCCCAAAGACATCTATCATTACATGAAAATATTCCTGATTCAATGAGATCCTTTGCTAGCAGAGATCACCAAAAGTTGGGTGCTGGTAAGAGCTTTAACTCTTGTTAGCTTCCCACTCTTTTACATGCCAGTTCACCCTAAGAAGTCAGGCTGGCCAGAACTCTTCATTCCCATCAAAACAAGCCTGCTTAGCTGCTCAGAAGTTACGAAAATGGGTTCAGGGTAGTTGAATTTCTGCTGGACTTTGAGTTTCTATTGGACTTTGTTACCTGATGTTGTCACTTCTTTGACAAAGAGCAACGACTTTCCCCAAAACCAGCCCTGGCAAGTTCAGTTACTAATTTAATCTTCAGAATAACTACAGAACTCCTCACCCCTAACTCCAAGCAAGCTTGAAAGCATGGCCCAAAGACATCAGATATATTGTGAGCCTAGGTTGGAAATAGTTTCTATTGCATTTCCATTAACCATTCTTAATCAAATTACTAGGTTAGCACAATTTGTTTTAGAGGCACAGTCACGCTTTCAGACCCTTGTGTTAGCCAGTGCTCCCATATTGCCTAGTGTAAGAGCAAGGCAGAATCTGATTGCAATAACGTAGTGTAATATAAAGAATCTGGTAAAGGTTTCTTTAACAAAACCGAGCTTCTAACTGCAGCTTACAGCATGATAGCCGTGCCCTGCTTTCCTCTCTGAAAATTGATTCAAGCAAGGCTCTATGACTGCATCAAGTTCCAAATTTACAGATTCACCATTCTTCCCACAGAAATCATATGCAGTTAGTTAACTTACCACCACAGCTATGCATATTAAAATAATATGAATGATTCGGAGCTTCACAGGTTGATTCATTCCAGGAGGAATTTCAGAGTTGGAGACATCAAAATTAATTGCCCCCATGATCAACAATATAAATCCAGCAACAAAAACTGCCAGGAATAACACCAGTATAGTGTAAATAGCTGCCATTATGCTGAGCAGTAGACAAAGTGATCTGAAATGTCTTTGATTTGACTTTCCCAGATATCTTTGCCTGGTTACTTCCTGATTCTCAGATACCTTTGTTCGTCACAGGGCTGTTCTAGTGGGGAAAAAAAAGAAAAAAAAAAGAAAAAAACCTTTCTCCTCCCCTTTGCAAATACATTAGTATGTATCTTTCACTTTCCCACTCCCTCTCTCCCCACTCCCGTTATTTCACAAAAGATAAACTGTTTCAAGTCCTGAATTCTGTTAAAAAGCTACTCCAGCAACATTTCAGAATTTTTGCAAAAAAAAAAAAAAAAAAAAACAACAGTCCTTAGCTGGCAGAAGGACTGCATTAATGTTAAGATAATTAGAAGTGGAAAAGGGACACAGGACATTCATATGCCTTGAGTTTTTGACACTATAAAGTACATTGCAGAAGAGTTTGTCTGAGGTTATGCAGAGATGGGAGCCTACATGGGACAAATAACACTTTAAATGGATAGACGGATTGTCACCACTGCTGTTTTGGTAAGATGCACTTACAAAATTATGAAATTACAGCAGAATCTCAGCTGTTTAGTATTTGTGTTTTCTTCTAAAAAATATGTTTCTAATTAGCTATTTCAAAGGAATTAAGAAATCTAATCAATGCATCTCAGTATACAGATGCCCAATTTTAAAACATTACTGTTAAAAATTCTTATTTTTTAAGTTTGTCATTACAAACTTACAATAGAAACAGGGAATTGTTCCCTGTTACTTTTGAATAGACTTGGTGTGTTTTAAGTAATCCAAGATTAAGAATCTATTTTGGCTCCAATAAAAATAAGCTGTTGAATAAAGAATACAGAATGCCAGAGAAGTTCAAAATTTCTTGGCAGCAGCCTTGAGTACATCAGTTTCAGCAGTTCCTGACGGGAAAAAGCTCCATGTAACATAATTTATCTTAAAATAAAAATCCCTCACAAATTTCCAGGTGAGAGTGCAGGCTTGTTCTTGCCAAGAAGTTAAGCAGCTCCAGCCTTCCTGTTGTAATTGTGCATCAGTCCTGATACCACACAGAACAAAACTACAGACATCTCATGGTTGTTAGAAGGGTCAGCTTTTTGCCTTGAATTCAAACTGAGATACTTCAGTCTACACTGACTAGATGAGAAATTAGCTCGTATTCTTTAGGACATAGTTCAGAAAATTGGAAATGAAATTAAGTGGATATCTTTTAACCTCACCGTAACTTCAGTATTATATCAGCCTTTCCAGAAAAGCCATGCTTTTTTTTTTTTTTTTTTTGGTCTAACAAAGAATTTCCATCCTTCTACTACAATTTTATTGTGGTGCTGCCTTTTTAAACTCCTCTTGCCTAGCTCTCCTCAGGCTTAGCTCTCTGGAGCGCAACTTGAAGAATGCTTCCTATTGACATCAGCTACAAAGACTACACTGCAATTAGCCCCATCCTCCATTTCTTAACACACAATTACAGTTGGTTTTAAGCTTCTCCAACCTCTCTGGAATTATCACAGCCTGTGTAAGGAGTTTGGTCACTTGTTCTTTCTCTTTCCTCTCTGATCTTTTCTAGTGTCTATTTTCCTACTTTCATGTCTTCATCATTGTTAACGCAAAGAAATTTCACAGCTTTATAGTTCTTTGGCCAGCTTTTCCTGCTTGTTTTTTTTTTTTGTGTGTGTGTGTGTGTCTTGTTAAAAAGTTAGCTGAAAACAGAAGTTCTCTTTGTTAGGAGTAGTGCTTTATTTTTTCCCCTTAGGGCAGGGTGGAAATTTTAGTTTAAATAAATGTTTATGGTTTAGTTTCTTCTTTTTTATATTGTTATTCTAATTAATTTATTTCCTGGAACAAGGAGCTGTTTGTCACAACTTGTAATTTATTTGAATAAATAGTTAATATATACTGACAATATGTGAACTGAACTCCTTTAGAAAATGTGCTGAAAGATCAGTGACCAGGCTTTTAACTTCTAGTGGGTCAGGCAAAGCGAGCAGAACAGGATTAGAAAAACAACCTGGGAAGCTGAGTTTAGACTCATGGTCAGGTTACTTCATATTAGGTAAACCTCAGGAAGTCAGTATGCTTTCCCATATGAGCAAAAGGTAAGTCATAAAATGACTTCGTTAGTCAGAAATGAAGTAGTTTCAAGTCATGCTGCTTTATGCTGTACTTGCTGCAGAGTAGAATTTGTTAATGGAGAGCTGCAGTTGTTTAAATGACACTTGAGGTTTAGCTGTGGATCTGAGTCTGCAGCTCTTCAAACAACTAGGATGTGAGAACATTGTCGAAATCGCAGTTTTGCAGGAAAATGAAAGAAGTTAAATTCTAACTTCATTAGGCAGCCATAATAATTTTTTCAGTTAAACTGTAATGATGGGGAAGAGTACCATGATGTTTTAGTTAGAAAGCTTTATAGAAAGTAACATTTTTTCATTATTTTTTTCTAGTGAGAAGTTGAGTGTTTTTTAGATCAGATGCTCATCGTAAAATACTCTGAAATGGAAGCACCTGTTTTGTTTAAAAAAAAAAAAAATGAAAAACACAACCTAAGACTGATTTTAAAAAAATCCTATCCAGTGGTGCTTCTGGAGTTGTATTGTTTCTACAGTCAGGTGACTATACACGGTAGTTTTCAACAGACTGATTCTTTGATAAGTTTATTATTGTGCACTGAGTTGACTCTGCCTGTGTTGCATTCCTTCTTTCACCAAGAAGAGTTTACTTAGGTTTATTACCGAGTACGGTTTATTACTGAGTTTAGCAAATTTATCTTACTCTTTCAACGGATTATTTTGAATTGCTAGTTTTTATTGTTGTTATTGATGAAAGCATTACAAAGTTGCCGTGACATTACAGCTTCTTGATAAGATAATGTTCTGCTTCTCTACCTTCATACAACTGTGAACTCTTTTAATAAACACATATGATAAGCGTAAAATAATCTTGAAAGAGTACCAGAAGGGAAAGAAGGTTCATCTCTGCACTCCCCTAACACGTGCACGTTTATTGAAGTGTAGGGATTCCATTTTAAGAATCAAGTTCCGAAACAAAATATCATTTCTCAAGTTCCAAACAAAATCAAACCTGTAGTAGTTCCAGTGGAGAAAGTCTGTCCCAGACAGACACCTGTATTTCAAGAAAAGCGTAGTCTTTGTGCAAGCTAACCCTAGAAATTAAAATGTGTAGCAGCAGTTTCACTATCTGACATGGGACTCCACAGAACCTCAGAGATACTGTGCTCCATCTGGTACCGTTACCATCTCTGAGCTCCCACAAGGGTCCAAGTAGCTCCCAGCTGTTGTCTTCAGCATTTCTGGGCTGCAAAAGAAGCTTCAGGAAGAGATGTTCTTGTTTGCCTTGAATGTGTGCCAGCTGTGCCGAGGTACTAGAACTGCTGGAGGTGAAGTGAAACAGTGCCAGGTGCTTGATTTTATTTGTGTTTTTGTAATAATGTTTTCTAGAATGCTGATGTTTTAAATAATCTTACCACTTGTTTGAGAGTAACAGGAGAAATGAGAAAGTACTAAATACACTTCCTCATGCAGTCAAAATAGAAAACAAATCGAACATGCTTGCATTCTTTTCCAAGTATACATTCACCACGGATAATGTAAGACTTGCACCATTTTTCTGAAAAATACGGTTATAGACTGTTTATATAATTCACAGTGTTATCAATTATCTTTTTTCCAGATAAAAAGGAAAAAATCCCATAGCCAAAAAAGGCTAAAATTCCATGAAAACCACTCTCAGAATGATACCAGGTTACTTGAATGCCATTGTCCTCTAATCGCTTCTTGTATAACAGTCCATCATCTCTAAGCACGTCAAACTCGCAGGTCACAATGTAGGATTCAGGGAGCTGGCAAATAATTGAGTCTTCGGCTAAAAGGGGGGAAAATGTTATTGCTAACAGTTCCTTGACTGCTTCATGGACTTCATGTTTGTATGAAGTGGATTTCTGTGGTATGTAGCCTCTAATCTTAAATTCATCAGGAATATTGTCAGCACTTATCCATTTTTTATATTTCAGTTTCATAATCTCAGGAACATGGCAATTTTGTAGGATGTCTTCAAGAAATGATGGTTTTCTATTAAGATAACGAAAACAGAAGTAGATAACTAGCTTCCGATACAACATGGGGATTCTAGCATTCTGCTGATAGGAAGGCAAATGAAAATCTAGCCCCTGTAGTCCTGGGTAAAGTAAGACCTGTGCGCGTATTTTTGGGAGATCCCTTTTATTTACCAGTATTTGGCAAATAACCGTAGCAAAATTAGCTCCGCAACTGTCACCGCTAATGATGATGAGAGCAGGATCCACGTGATACTCTTCTAAATTCCTCATAAAGTATAAGGTAGCATTGAGACAGTCAAAATATTGCCCTGGATATGGGTGTTCAGGAGCCAAACGATAACTGAAATGTCAAAGACATTGTGGTTATTGTCAAAGTAATTATAATTATTTAATTTGCATTGTTCTTGGTTGATGGGTATGGTAGTTAGGTAGGCCGTTTTATCTAAATTTTGAAGTTTATGTTTGTTTTTAGGTCCATGTAGACTGGAAACACGAAGTAATGGTGTACAGCTATTTTAGAATACTTGGCCTGTAAGCACATTTCTAAATTAAATTAAAGGCTAAAGCCAGAAATGGGGAACACCATCCAAAATAGTAAATATTTCCAACATATTTTTCAGAAATATTTCAGTTGTAAGCTGTGTTACCATAAATATTTCTATGTAAAAGCAGCACTTACCCAACAGACACAACCACTGAGTTACATTTTTTGGCAATATAGCGGCATATTCTTTCAAAGGCTCCTAAAGACAAAGTTTATCAGAAATTATGTTTTAGAAAGGCAAAAAAAAAGTCACTGAGTACCTCAGCCTTCTCAATATCCAGGTAACCAGGTCTCCCGTTTCCTTCCCAAAAGGGCCCACAATTTCCCTAGTCATCCCTTTGTCGCTGTTACACCTACAGAAGCCTTTCTTGTTGCCCATGACATCCCTGGCCAGATGTAATTCTACCAGGGCTTGAGCTTTCCTAACTGATCAGAATGTTTCTTTGTATTCCTCCCTCCCCAGATACCTGTCCTTTCTTCCACGCTCTGTAGGCTGGGATGGTTCTGTAGACTTTCTGTAGGCATTCAGTGTTTCTGTCTTAATCCATCTTTGGCAGTCTGAAGAGACTTAGTATATTCACTTATTCTTTGTAAGAAGCATTTTCATCATCTACACAGCCTCTCACTGACTCTTTTTGGTACTGTTAGATCCCATTTGAAGTATGGGAACCCGAACTCTAAGCAGTATGCAGTATTTAAATACATCGTGGGTTTATTGAAGCTGCATAAAGAGGTTTCCTGTTTTGTCCTATCTTCCTTTCCTAATAAAAAATCATGGCACTTTATTTTCTTTTTGACTGCTACTGTGCTCTACGTCAACATTTTCAGGCAATTTTCTAACATAATTGCAAAATCATCTTCCTGCAAAGTAGTTAGTCATTGTTTTATCTATAATGTTAGGGTGTTCTGCCCATCTGTTTGACTTCTGCTCTCCATTTCACCTACCATTTTATTACCTAATCCTCTGACATCTTAAAGGCAGTCTGCACTTTTTCAGCCAGCCACTACCTGCACTGCAGGAGTTATCTTATCACCTCTCAACTGCTTTTCTGTGTTTGTATAGCACTGGTTAGCACTGGTCCCAGTGCAGATCCTTATGGGAATCTCACAGGAACCTCCTAAAAGCTATCCTATTTCCACCTTGTAGTCAGTTTTTATCAAGTAAAGGATCATCACTCAGGTGTCATGGGTGTGTAGCCTCTTTAAGAGAGCCTTTTGGGAATCAAAGTTTTATCAACTCAGTTTCCTTTATTCATTTATTCGCTGACTCGTATGAAAAGCTTAAATTGATTCATGAAGAATAGCTTCATTTTATATAAGTTGCATGGATTTTAAGGAGTAATTCATATTTATCTGCTCAACAATTCTGTTCGCATTGTAGCTTCTGCTAATTTGCCAGTTCCGGACTTCAGGCTTTCTAGTCTGCAAGTCCTTTTAAAAACGTGTCATTATGTTAGTTGTTTTCCTGTTATCAAATATGATGGGGAATTCAAGTGAAAGGTCACATGCAGATATAGTCAATGTATAGGTATGGGTATTATATTAAGCCATGACATATTATGATACAGCGCCTTTAATGTGCAGATTATGCAATGGCAACTTTGTTTTGAAAAACAACTGTCCGACTTTATGGTAGTTTTTTCTTCCAGTGAAAGGAATTCACTGTTCATTTAAATCATGGAAGCTTGTATCTCGAGTCCTCACCACTACCCAATCTAGCTCTAGAACTAGAAGCATCACAGTTGGTGTCAGCCTGGCCCTCCACCCAGACTACATGCTGTGCAGTGAAATGAGGGTAGACTATTTCTGCCACAGTGCAGAATGGGACCTAAATTATTATAAGCTTTTGTTTCTACATGATGCTGAACCAAGCCAAGTAGGCTCACAACCTCAGTTGTGGGGAACTGAAGTCTGTCCAACACTGTGCAAGTGGAGACTTACCCTTTGAATCAGTAAAGGATTCAAAACCCACAGACTTCCCTGTATGACCCTTGGAATGACATTCGGATTTCCATGCTAGGTGCCTTGGCTTCCAAGAAAAGCCCACGTAGATTTGGTTGCTCAAAAAGAGATCCAGAACAGTTAAGAGGCTGAGTAGGTAGCCACTGAGACAATCAAAGAGTTGTCTCCCTTTCTGAACAAGAAATCATTTATTTTATGCAGTAGAATCACAAGAATCAAACTCCCCTAAACTGGTTTTATTTTTAATGCTCATGTATTAAAGCATATGTATGCTTCATTTTGATTCTTGGATTCTTAAAGTAAGACAGCAAAAGCACCAGAGAAAGGACTGACACATATCTGAAGGGTAAAGGTTTAGATTTGATTTTAGAAATAGAACTTGCTGATTTCTTACTAATGCTCCCAAATGTGCCAGCGCCTCCATGAAAATACAGTATTCCTCTTCTTTTGCCAGTAGGTGGCCACTTAGGCTGATAAATCCTCAAAGGTACCCCATCTACTTTGAGATCCTTGATAAGAAGTTTTGAATCTCTGCATGGTGGTATTCCATCCAGCACAAATCGCAATACGGTTAAATCACCGCAGACCCCTAGCTTCTCCAAAATCTTTCCCTGTTGAAAAGAAAGAATTCAGCAAATTAGCATGAAAGGTTCCAACTCTCTTTAGTTAAAATAATAATAATAATAATCTTGGGATTATTTTACTGTATTGTATTTCAAGAGGTACTGGAGACAGTGCTTCCTTCAGTGGAGTTATGGTGGCTGTTGAGAAATCTTTGAATTGGTTTGATTGAATTGAGTGTCACTGAAGATTGCCAAAAAGAAACACAGCAAACCCCATTTTGCATAAGCAGTTGTCCTCTTGATCATTATCTATGCTTGCATGTTTCTTTTTGTGAATCTGAAAAATAATTACAAATGTATTTAAGCTGAAAATATGGGGGAAAGGAGTAAAATAAGTTTTGATTTGGAAATAAGTGTCATAAGCAACTATGGGCGGCGTGAAGGTGGTGAAAGAGGGTTAGATGTTAAATTATAGATGGAGCCCTGCTAAAATGTATGGGAGTTGTAGGCTCATTATGTACACAAACACCAGCGGTTGCTTTTACTTCTTAAAGCTATGATGAAGAGGGCAACATTTTAGAAAGTATTTTATTATCTTCTGTATTAAAGATACTATATATTTTGTAAGAAAAAATACAAAGAAAGTTTAATTGCCCAGAGAAGAAGTTTTTGAAGCTTAGAGGAAAACAAAAAACTATATTCAAGCTACAACATAATATCTTAAATTTAAAATCAACCGTTTTGAAGTCAATGTCAAAAGACTGTGGTATTTGTAGGGGAAAATGTCCAGACTCTTAAGAGGATTCAGTGGTCACTTTTAGCCCAAGGAAATTCCTGGTTTAAGACTAACGTATGTAGATCTAGAATGTGATGTAACACACTCACTAACAACTTTTTTACGTTGGTTCTTTTTCCTCTCTACAAATCTGTACAAAGTTCCTATGACACTGGAAGTGCCACATGACTTAGAAGATGGGATGAACAAGTTCCAGAATTTTTGAATCTGAAGGTCTCCCATTTTTACTTTTTTTTTTTTTTTTCCATAATAATTAATTTCTGCTTTCAGTTTGGAAGAAATTTGTCTTTATATTATGGAGTAGATATATTGGATATATGTTACATTCATGTGAGTAAATACACACACTGACACACATGCATTTTTAAAGAATGAGAAAAACCCAAACATATTGTTCATAAATACGGCTATATCCTACTTTCTGAACTAGCCACATAAGAAATTATATCATTTGGTTCATTTATCAGTGCTTACAGGTTTCAGGCGGGTGAATTGCTGCTGCCACTTTACTGTTTTTTTCTTACGCCATTATGTTCCAGCTCCCAAGCATCATACCAAAACAAAAAAGAAATCCCCAGTATTAAGAAAGTGAACTTACCGAAATCATGGTTGTAATCATCACGGAATGGTAAAACCGAAGCTTTAGAGGTTGGTCAATTCCAGGTGGCATTTTTGAATTGAAAAAGTCATATAATAACCCCGCCAGGAACAGTGCTGGTATTATAACAGGAGAGAAGAAAGCCATTCCAATTATTGCTAAACCTGTATAGATGAATGCCATTTCTCTTCCATGGAAATGAACTCCAAAAAAAACCTGTTCTATCTAAAGCCTCGTTTTTCAAGTGTTTCTCATGTGTCTGTCTTCACAGGAGACTAAGCACTCGGTTTATAAGCAGAAATAAGTTTATTAATGTTGCAATACTCTGATACTCTCCACCCTTCTTTGCTAATGATATTATTGGCAACACTTCCTTACACTGAAAAAAAAAGGAGGAGGGGGAGATGTTTACTTTGTATAAAAGGAGAAATTTGAAATGTATGAAATTGATCTATATCGTGTGCTTTTCACTGCCATTGAGATAACCTTCCAGGGGCCACATGTGAAGATCGTCTGTCTGTTTGTTGTGGGCTTATTATGGGGGGACATTACAGCTGTCAATGTTAACGTTAGAGATGTGCGGCTACTTGCAGTTGTCACCAAGGTGGATACTCCGAGAAGAAAAATATTAAAATGCACGTTTTTTGATTTTGATTAATAGTGGAATGCACAGACCCAGTTAAGTAAGAGGACGTTTGCTCAGAATATAACCTGTGATACACTTCTGTGGAAAGATCTGTTTAATTGTGTGATGTTTCTTACTTAGCTGTGAAATTTTAGCGTAGACTCCTCTCTTCATGCTGATGTAGGAGTACAAGTGGTCACTGTAAAATCAGTGCTAGGCTGTGCCACTCTTAACTTACATGAAGGTCTCTCCAGGTGCAGGATATGATGTCTTTGGAGATTGAAGCCACTGCTGTTTCTGGTAAAACCTTTTTACTGATTAACCTCTAAGAATCTTATACCCAATCATGAAGTTACAGTTCCCAAACTTTTTTCCTTTCCTGGGTTTTAAAATGAAATTCCGGTCTGAAAACTGATTTCATCCTTAGTTTCGTTAGCCCAATATTTAAATCAAAACAATCAGGTCAGCTGACTTGCACAATTCTAGCTAGTGGAGATAAGAATGTGTGGGACAAAGCAACGTAAGTCTGCCCCAGCGTTTGTGAAATAGGCAAGCTCTCAGCTGTTCACATTAAGGGCTTTTCTTTGCTGAGGTTTAGTGACTGGTGCCTTCTTTGTGAACTTGTATAGTTTACAAATTTAGCAATATAGTTGGTCTTAGTAATGTCAAATTGTACAGTATTGAAACCATATCCAGCCATCAATGGCCAACACTCATTCTGACCTAACCTTATCAACTTCTTTTTCTTTTTTTTTCCTTATCAGTATCAGAACACAGATTGTAAACCAAAAGCAATTTAAAAATATTGCCCTCCCTTTTTTGTATTGCATGTTAGAAATCTGCTAAATATCTCTTAAGGCTGCTTCATTACATTATTTTGCTATAAGGAAGGAAAAATTCCAATAATTTCCATATTAATTCATTTCACCTTACCAGTAATGTCATCCAAGATGTTATGAGCGCACCAAAGAAGAAAGAGTGTTAAATAAATTAAACTTAAATAATCCTGTTGCTGCATGTCACTTTCCTACTGACGCTTGTTCATAGATACTTCCTATCTGGGCAGCCATTCCTGTACCTGCAGAACTACCTGTGATCGGTGTCAGTCTCTCATAGATCATGTTGAGCAGAGGGTGCCACATTTCTAACAGTCAGTGCGTTGGTTTTTTCCAATTATTTTGAGATGTTCAATTGTCAAAAAGAAATGTTTTCTTCCCTTTCAGTCCAGTCAATGAAACAAGTACCATAAATCTTTGCAAACAAAAAAGTGTTCTTTCTGGCACCAGACAGAAATCTGTCTCGGATAACAAGCTAGTACCAGTAGCTCTTTAAACTGCAGCTCTTTGCTGATGTATTGTCATACATCCATTCTTTTACTCTTTCGGTAAGCTCCTTGCAAACTCCAGCTTTCCCAAATGCTTTACCTGTTTGTAGAAGGAACTGGTTTGCATTTGCTAAAGATTCAAGAGGTTCAGCTAAACTTGATAAAATTGATACAGCTTGGAGTTTGGAGTTGTAATGTGTATTCCTGGACATGCATGTGGTACTTTGTTCTTATAAAATATTTAACTCTTCAGAGCTCATAAAATTGATACTCTGTTCATCAAATTTAGAGTTGCTGGAGATGGACATGTTTAATATATCAGTTGGTGAGTACATAATTGACGTAGTGTAAATTCTTTCCAGTGAGTCTCCATTTATGCAAGAAGATAGTCACCTCTATAATTCATTCTTTTCATCATTTTTCAGCATATTTCTAATGGACATAGCAATGATGGCAAGAGGAAGGATTATAACAATCCCTATCAATAGAAATATGATCTTTGCTGGTTTGTTGTATTATGGTTTTCCTCCCCACCAGGCTTAACCTGTTGATTTTTTTAAGGCCTAAATAGGTGTGCAGTCAAGACCTCTTTGTAGATGGAGAATGCATAAAACTCACCAATTTCACATCTGTTGTAATTACACATCTCAGTGTAAGAGGCAGGCAGCTTTCAAACCAAACACCAATAAAGCCGAAAATGTCAGGGTAGATGATGCTTATGAGTTACATGAACATCAGGTCTTACTGTTTTTGTAATGTCTTTCTTCAAAATATTGCAAAACATTTCACTTCTGATTGTAGACTGTGTTAGGAAACAGTTGACTAATGTGAAGCTGCTATGTGTAATACTGGAAATACTACAAGCAATAACTAAAATATGATAAAGTTGTTAGATATAATGGCTGAGGTACTGATTCAGCCACGTATAGCCAAGTTTAGTAACTGACTGGAAGTCATAAAGCTAAGAACATAGAAAGGAAAAAAATATTACAAGGAAAGATTAAAAACAGAAATAATAGTTGCTGCTATGTTACCACTTTAAATTCTTCTTATTTGTTTGTTTTTTTTAAGGTACCTTTTGAAATGAAACACTCCTGTATATATAATTTACCTGGCTTTGTTTGTGTGTTTATTTACTCTAGGTAATGTAGTATGACAATTAGATTCTATAATGCGATTTAACTAACTTCAGTTTCACCAAGGAGAAATCTTGCTGTCCTCCAGCTCAAATTTCTGGATTTATGTAAACAAATGACTGAAAGCCTCTCAGACTTCATCGCACCTGTACACCTCACTCATCCAATCTGGGATCTGGATTTACTGTGGCCTTTAGAGGGACAATAAAAAGATTTAAGAAATTACAGCCTAGTCCTCACCAGATGATGCAGTTTATTAAAGGTGCAGTGTAGTTACTTGATCTGTCTCTTTTCTTCACTCTGCATGCCTCCTACCTATTTCTTGGTGTCCTCCCTCTTTGTTATCTCCATCTCCCCACCCAAATTGGTAGCCACTCCTTGTGCATTTTGCTCTCATTCATGACTGAACATTGCCTTCTATTCAGTCTGCTGTAAGTCCTCCCTTTCCTTTCTTCCTCTCAGTTCTGCTATGAGGTATATCCCTTCCAAATGACTCCCAGTTTAAACACTTGCTAACAAATTCTGCAGTAAAAAGCTGTACCGTGTCAAAAATTTGAAATAAAAACGATAGCAAAGATGTTTAGCATTCAGTGTTGAACAATTAGGATTTTGTGTTGTACGATTCAGAGCAGGAACTTTTTTGAAATGGTGACTTTGCAGAAGACTTTTGTTAACGTAGCGCTCTGAAATGTGGATGAGTTCTTGGATGTGTGTGCCGTGGTGGCTGTGCAGTTCTGTTCCTCAGGATGGGTGAGCTCTGCTCCACCCAAGCGGAGTCCAAATAAACCACTCCAGAACCTCCACCTGGCATTTCATGACAGGCCACCAAACCAAAATGTGTTCTTGAGTCATAAATAGTTTGAATGTAAATGGCAGAACTGCAACAGCCTTAATTTGCTGTGGCCAGATCCAGCTGATACTTGTAACTCAGAATATTCAGGTTAGCAGGAGAGGAATGCATCCTCAGCAAGTTTGCTGCTGATGGTAATCATCAAAGATGGAACTGGGAGGTGCTGTTGACTCCCTGCAGTGACAAGAGGCCGTGCAGAGGGATCTAGCTAGATTGGAGCACTGGGCAGTCGTCAATGGCATGAAGTTCAGCAAAGGAAAACGTCGCATGCTGCACCTGGGACGGAGCAGGGCTGGACACAGGTACAGACTGGGAGATGCGTGGCTGGAGAGAGCAGCCCTGCAGAAAGGGACCTGGGGGTGCTGGGGACATCAGGCGCAGCGTGAGCCAGCAGTGTGCTCTGGCAGCCACGAGGGCAAACTGCATTTTGGGGCAACAAAGCTGGTTAAAGGGCTGGAGGGTGCATCCTATAAGGAGAGGCTGAGGACACTTGGGTTGTCCAGTTTGGAGAAAAGATGGCCAGGAGGTGACACGGTTGCTCTGCAGTGCCCTGGGCAGGGGAAGCACCGAGGGAGGCGCCGCTCTCTGCTCCCTGCTAACTGATGGCATTGAATGGCCCAAAGCTGTGCCAGGGGAAGGTCAGGCTGGGTGTTAGGGACAATTCCATTACCATGAGGGTGGCCGAACACTGGAACAGGCTCCCTAGAGAGGTGGCTGATGCCCCGTGCCAGTCAGTGATCAAGAGGCATTTGGACAACTCCCTCACTGATGTGCTGTAGCTTTTGGTTAGCCCTGAAGAAGTCAGGCAGTTGGGACTTGATCCCTGAAGGCCCCTTCCAACTGTTCTGTTCTATTCTGTCTGTTCTGTTCTGTTCTGTTCACTACGATAAGAGAGTCAATAAACACAATGAAACACTGGGGTAATGGGCGAGTAGAAGACAACTGATAGGAATAAAAGAAACCACAATTCACAGGATTCTGTCTATTTATTTCAGCACCAGAATCCTACGGAGAATATGCATCATAAGTAGAGAATAATATTAAATGTTTTTTTTTTTTTTAATAATTGAATTCAAAATTTGGAGTACTTTTTTAATTGCCTGCTTATTTTCCAAAATACCGGTTGTGTATTGACTTTTAAATAGAGTAGTACAAAGAGATAATGTAAAGATAGCGAAACAGAAGATAATTGAAGTTGTAAAGTTCTGTAATAAATCGCTGTAACTTAATTGGTTTAGAACAGGTAATTGAACTTGAAATTAGTATGGCTTAAATGCTACTGTGTTGTTAAGCATACTGCTTTAGTATTTGAAGGCATAGCAGCAGGTTCAGTAAAAATATTTAAGTCTAAAACACTCTATGACCTTTTGTAATGTCTTTCGGTTGCTCAGATTATGTGCCCAAGAGCAGAAAGCAGTTTCCCAGGTTATTCTAATGGCATTGAAATATCAGTTGTATACTGACATCTGGTGATTGGAATGGTGCACAACAATTTGCTTTCCCTTTCTTAATTTTCTTAACATCTTTCCGTAAAACATAGCCATTCAAATAGTATCCAGACCTCCCAGCTTCACAGACCTTTTCAGCATTTCGCTCGTTTTCATGTCCTGACAATGTTCTGATCTGTTCCTGAATCCTCTTATTTGTGATATACCTCCTTTGTGACGAAGTCTAGAGACCAGACTAGAATGTGTCTCTTGCCCAAATTATTTAGGGTTGACACCTCTGGAGTGGACCGGTCTTGTCCATGCTCTATTACTTTGTTGAAGGAATACATGTGCTGAGATTTTATTTTGAGTACCGAATGTTCAAAATTACCAGTTATTTCACTACTAGTCAAGTCATTAAAGAAAGAAAAGATCTATAGTATCTTCAGCATGTCTTCTTGGGGCCTTATTACCTAACCAGTTGCCAGCCTTTTTCTTTGTCTCATTCTGACATTCTCTGTATGTATGTATTCTTCTAATGTATTCTTCTATAGCTTTATGGACAAATTGCAAACCATGCCAATGAAGGACGTAAGCCTCAAAATTAGTGTCATTTTTGCCCATATGCAAAATAGTTAGCAGTATAACTGATACATGTATGTCTACTTAGAAATAAGGAAAAAAAATGTAGGAGATTTTTTGCTATTTTGCTCATGAAAATTGTATTAATTCTGAAAGACCATGTGGAAAAGCCCTGTAAAAATTTCCTTATTTTTTAAAGATTTTGTGAGTTTAGCTAGATGGCATTCAGATTGTTCTAGCAGGTTTTATTTTCCAGTATGCTGAATATAAATAACAGAGCCATGCTGAGTATAGCAGAACATCCTTCCATTGTTTGTAAGGTATCTTATTCTATCTGAAGACTTCCCTTACATAATTGTCTGCAGCATTCTTTGCTTTTGATTATAGTTTAAATAAGCCAGCAGTGGGTAGAAGATGTATGCAATAATGTCAGATAAAGAGCTTATTATTTTTAAATTATAGAGCTAGAAATTTCTCTGACAAGAACAAGAGTAGTTCATAGTGTGGGCAGTGTTTCAGGTATTAATTTAATCAAAGATAGTTTTGACTGTAAGTCTGAAGTTTCTTACCCATGCTTCCATTTCTGCATGGAGATGCAGTATGTCTCCAACGTACTGAAGAATTCATGATACTAGTGTCTAATAGCGTGATAAATTATTGTAATGCAGGATATAAGAGTATAATAAAAACTGAGAGGAAACAATTATAGAGTGAAACATTCATCTCAGGAGAACAGTGTCATTAAAATGTTTACTGACATTTCTTGGCAATATTCACTTTTCTAATATCAAAATAAGAAGTAACTAGAATGCAACAAGCATATTTAAATCACGGTGACATTTTTATTGGAGAATGTCTTCCATCTCAGAAATTCATTATCAATTATGAATCCTTAATACAGATTTAAATTAAATGACAAATCATATGTGCAAACTGTTTTTTATCAAAATGCATGTAAAATATAGAACTTTGTATATAATTATATGTGTTGATTATACATCAAGGAATATAAATCTTTTTATCTGGAACCAGATATAACTTTGTCATTAAAAACATTTAAGATTTCAAATAAGTATACTTATTTGACTGGAAATGTGTTTAGCCCTGTTTGCTAGTGTTTTGTTTGTTTCTTTTTTTAAACTCCCATAGTTTACCATCATTTCTAATCATGGCAGTAAACTCATTCTCCTCTTATCTTCATGTATTTATATCATTCTAAGTGATTTTACTGAGAGCCAGGAATTTTAGGGTTACTATTTCAGCAAAATGTCTCTCTTTTTAAGGGTGTTGTTTATAGCTCTGAAAACCAGGACATTGAATGACTTGGATTATACTAGAAAATGTAAATCATCAATATGTGGGTTACTATAGTTTATCTACCTATTCAGCTACTCTTTTTCTTTGAAAGCTGTAGGTTTATTAGCCTCCTTTCCCAAGGCAATAAAATTTGTGACATGTTATACCCCGTGTGATTTTCTCTTTTACTTTGCGTGTTAAGATCTGAACTCTTTAACTGTCTGCCACTAAGTACTGGAGTAGTGTCTCATGATTAGACATGAGTGCTCAAGTTCTATATTCAACTGAAAAATGTTTAGTTGAGTTTTCTGTGATTTCTTGTTCTGGTATCAAGAAGGTATCGTTATTTTATGAATTAGAGGAGAAAAAAGTGGTGAGTCTGGCTCCATCTTCTTTGCACTCTCCCTTCAGGTATTTATAGACATTGGAAAGATCCCTCTGAGCTTCCTTTTCTCCAGGCTTAACAGTCCCAGCTCGCTCACAGGAGAGGTGCTCAAGTCCCTGGCTCATCGTGGTGGCCCCGCATTGGATTCTTTCCAGTATGTCTATGTCTCTCTCATACTGGGGGTCCCAGAACAGGAGTAAGGTTGCAGGGATGAAACTTCTTTCTTTTATGTCTATACTCACATCTATTCTGCGACATTCACCTCTCTTCAAGGCTGTCTCAATCTCAGCTTTTATAAGATAAATATCTCAATAGATCATGGACCATGGTTGCTATATATCATAGTTTATATATTATTATTCAAACTTTATTAAGCCAAGCTTCAGGGGAAGGTTTAGGTTGGATATTAGGAGAAATTTCTTTACTGAAAGGATTGTGAGGCATTGGAATGGCATGCCAAGAGTCACCATCCCTGGACGTCTTCAAGAAATGTGTAGATTTAGAACTTAGTAACATGGTTTAGTGGTAGAACTTAGTACTATGTTAAAGGTTGGACTAGATGAGTGTAGAGGTCTTTTCCAACCTGAATGATTCTGTTAATCTATGATGCATTGTGGAACACTTGCCATGGGGGGGGGGGCAGATCTTTTATGTGTACAACAGAAAACTTTGAAGGAGATGGTAGAAGAAAGGTAAATTCATCTGATTTTGCATACCGTAAGTAAAAATGAAGAGAAAGCCATCACAAAATCAATTTCTTGGATAAAAAAGACAATAAATCAAATGCTGAAATTTCAAGAGATGGTTTAAGAAAAGGAAAATGAAGGTGTTTCTGAAAAATCTTTGCAAGCAATGAGCAATAGGAATCAGGAAAGGGAATGAAAGAATCAGGTTGAGTTTTACATCAACCTTAGAAATTTTGTTATCTTTTCCAGGCCTTTGAGGCCAGATCGGAATGATGCTATCTTACCATAAACTGCTAAGAATATTGTTCCATGGAATCCCTCTTGCAGATGGCACAAGGTCACTTTTACACCCTGATCCTCTAATCGTTTCTTGTACAGCAGTCCATCATCTCTAAGTACATCATATTCGCAGGTCAGAATGAAAGCCTCAGGAAGCTGAGCAATAACGCTGTCTTCAGATAGCAGTGGTGAAAAAACAGGATCAAGAAGAGTCTTGACCAATTTATAGGTTTCTTCTGAGAATGGTTGTTCTGTACTTGGTGTATAGCCTCTTGTTTTAAACTCGTGAGGGATGTTATCAGGACTCAGCCATTTCTGATACTTTAGTCTCAATTCTTCTGAAACATGACAACCTTGAAGCACATTTTTTACGGCAGACAAGTCTGCGTTGACATACTTCAAACCAAGAGAGACGGTTCGTTCCTTTAACAAAACGGGAATGCCCTCATTCTGCTGATAGGAAGGCAAATTAAAGTCTACACCCTGGAGAAAAGGATATATAAGGATTTGTGCTCTCAGCTTTGGGACATCTCTTCTGTTTACCAGTGCTTGGGCAACAGCAGCAGTGAGTGCACCTCCACTACTGTCTCCACAGACAATAATGCGAGAAGGGTCTACTCCATAATCTCGTGCTGTCCTCATAAAGTGTATGGTGGCAGTGAGACAGTCCTCAAATTGGGTTGGATATGGGTACTCAGGAGCTAAGCGATACCTAAATAGGAATGAAAGTCTTTTAACATAGTCATATCTAACAAATGGTCCCCTTGTTGTCCTTAACATTCTTGCTTTCATATACTTCATGCTGAAGATAGGACAACTTTCTGAGATAATTACACCAACAGAATTGCTAATAATTACTGCTTATGCTGTCTTATTGCTACTGTTAATGTTTGAGGGGGGTCAGTGCATTCTCCTATCTTTGCAAAATATGTATTTAATTGCCTAGCAGGTGACTCAGGGGACTGAGGGCACACACTGAGTTTCTGTACAATTAGATGGCAAGGCACATATGTGTGAATTCATCTATCAGCAATTGTACTTCTCCAAATTTCCAAAATTTGGAAAAAAAAAATCCAAACAAATGGTTAGAGAATGTAAGTGTAGAAAATGGATAACGAAAATACAAAAAGGTTTCAGCATTTTTCTATAAACTGAATTCTTTATAAACAGAATCGGTAAGGGCTGATGATTCTTCAAGTGTTTGGGGCTGTAAATAGCGATTAGTGCAATTTTAATTAAATTCCAAGACACAACTGTTTTCATGAATTTTTAAAATTTGATTATTTTAAAAATGTATTACAGCTCATCACAAAAAGGTTTTAAATAGTCATCTCTGGTGAGTTGCAAGTGAAATGTGGACTCTGTGCACACACATACATAGTTTTTCAGAAGAACTACTAAAATGAATATTTAGTGGTCTGGGCAACTGTGCTATCAACAGAGGTAGTTATTTCAAACACAATGCAGGCTTCAACTTACAGTGCTTTGTGTATGGCTTTAGGAAATAAAAACATCCTCATCTAATGGTAGCTACAAATTATAAAATTGCTATAATGGAAATTTGGAAATAAATAAGTGGGGATTAGTTGACTAGTTCTTTCTAAGGGTAACTAGCACTGGTGAAATGCATGTGATCATTAAATACAAATATTCAATGCAGATTGCTAGGAAATTGGCTTGCAGCGACTAAAGCATTAAAGAATTATAAACCTGGAAAGGAGACACAAATGGCTGTCACGTTGTGTGTTTGGATCGACTCCACTTACCCAACAGACACAACCACTGAGTTGGTTTTCCTAGCAAAGTAGCGGCATACTCTTTCATAGGCCTCTGTAAAAACAAAACATATCAATGGAGTTGTAACTTGTTTGAAAAACAGATGAAAATATTCTGCGGTTTTTAATCTCTGTTTTGTGATTAAGCTACACTGTAAATCTTCTATTGTTGGTATGACCTAATTTGGGCATTGCTCATAGTTTCATTGCATCTGTGGGAATCTTCTTGCCAGTAAGAAACCTGGAATTATTACCATTCATTGTTTCATTCTCCTCACTGAAAAGTTAATAGAAAGCACCACTGCTGCTACTGCCAAAGTGGCATTGAAGATGAAAAGTCATTAAAAGAAGAAGAAAGAAAAGAAAAAAAAAAAAAAAAGCAGCCAAATCTAGAATGTTTTGTTTTTGTTTTTCAGGAGACACCACCTAATCTCTTAACCCTTTCCATTTCAAAATCCAAACTGCATTTTTTCCTTGTAAGCACTTCCATTGTAAATGCACAACAGTATGCACACATATACACAGGCTTGCACATATATTTGAGCACAAACTGAGAATAAAATTCTTATGAAATTTTCAACTTTTCTCATAAGCATGAGGGAAAAGACAATAAATGATCAGAGAAGTTCTAGATACGTGATCTGTAGAAAGATCATTTAACTTGATGCCTGCTGCATGTAAGTAAAATTACTCTTCTATCCTGACATGATTTTTTTTTTATATAATGCTTTACCTACTACTTCGTCTTGTCTTTTAAGAATACAGCATCAGACCAGTAACTGCATAGTATTTGCAGACCCAACTCATTTACATTACTTACGAATGCTTCCTAACCGTCCAACTCCGCCATGAAAATAAAGGATTCCTCTTCTTTGTCCACTGGTTGACATTTTTGGCTGGTATATTCTTACTTTAACCTTCTCAAATCTTAAGTCTTTGATAAAAAGATGTTTATCTTTTGGTGGCGGTATTCCATCCATCATAATCCTGAGGAAGTGGACTTCTGAAGTGATACCAATTTTTTCCAGTAATGTTGCCTGTTAATAAAGGAAGAGAAACCACAAATTAATACAAATTTCCATCTCATCTGGAGGATGAGCACAAAAGCTTAAATTTCCATGGTCAGTTCAAACTTTGTCTCCTGATGGTTCTGACAATGAAGTGGCCAGTTATGATGATGTGGGTCCACCTTCGTTGTAATGCAAACCCTGTGAAAATCTGTAACTCAGAGGGCAGTAGATTTGAAAGGAATGGATGAATTTATCTTCTGTAACTGCCTGAGAAGAATCTTCTGCCTTGTGTCCATACATCTCCAGAAGCAAAGCCTTCCTGTGGGCAAACCTGGCTGTAAGTCACTTTCACAGTATCACTGTCACTGGTTCATTAATACCATCATGCATCTCTGGCAAAAATGTTATCAGTACTATTTAGCAGAACACAGGGTTAGCTTTGGTAATAATTTCTGGATTATATTAGAAAGTTTAGATGTTGGCATGTTGTTTTTCAACTGAACTCATTCTGGCTTAGATTATATCAGTAGAAGAATACTCAAGCTATTAATAGTAGATAGAAGGTGTCAAATACTTCCCCTTACTGGTGTTTAAGTAGCCCTGTGTTTGAACAAAAGGAGAGAGCAGTTAAAGCATTTTAAAATTTCTCTTTGTGTGGCTAATTCTTTGGTTTCCCAAATTCCCACTGCTTTTTGACTTGCAGAACATTTTTCCGTAGCATCTACCACAGCTGGCCTCCTGAACAAGAATAGTTTTGAACCTTAGCTCGATATTCACATAGCTCAGTGATTCGTACTTAAACATTCAAGGCTGAAGATTGGAGTCAGTCTGAGCTAGTCTACGTTGCGTCTGGATGACTTTAGGCTGTTTTAGTTGCAGTCTGATCTAGTCTATGAAGAAAAATACGAGGCAGTATCACTCATTTCCACTCTATCTGGATTAAATGTTGTACTTTCTGTCTTCTCTAATGAGTAATATAATCTGTTGTGTTGCCATTATTCATGTAGATGTGTTTCAAAAAACAATTATATATACAAAGGTATATACTGATGTATCTTAAAATCCCATAGTGAGAGTCTTGCATTTTCACCTCACATTTCACAGACCTCATGTAGTTAATAATGTGGTCCTGTTAAATATGGCAGACAGCCCATTTTATGCCATTTGAAGAGCTGATCCCATGTACAAGAAAGATCATTTTGTAGCCTAGCTTTAGTCTCATACTGGTTCCTTCTGCAGATCTCCTCTATGACGTCCATGGGAAAATAACTTCTGTTTCTTTAACTCTCCAATTCCCTCTGGTGTGTGACATTTCATTTTTGTTAAACATGTAATAGTTTCACTGGTCAATTTTTGTAGAGATTGACATTTACTTATATCATTCTTAGTCACTTCACTGCTGGTTGTGAATATCTGCTGTGGAGTACCTGCAACAAATTGCAGTTACGAAGGACACCAGTATCATCACATGCAATCTTCATAGTTATTTCTGGTAATATGCAAATTAAATTTTAATCTGGTGGTGGTGTTTTAAATTGCACAGTTCCCATCAATGTTCTACAGGAGTCAGCATAGTTTGCATTTTTGCTTTTACTGATTGAAATCCATTCTTCAGTCTGTATGCTCCCTGCAGTACTGGGTTTTCACCTACAGTTTCTGGAAAAAAGTCATCACTTACACGTAAGCTGCAAGACCAGGCTATGTGTACTTAAAGGGATGTTCAGAATGTATCTAGACTAGTTGTCACCAGTTTGTTACCAGAAATCCCGCTTTTGGAATCTTCATGTTCATAAAATTTGGTTAATCATAGGTGATTAGCCAAGTTGGCCAAATGTGATGTGCATTTTGGCTCTCACAAAGAAATGCAACTGCTTAGCAGTGTAATTTGTAAACCAGTAGTTGCACAGGTTGGTTGTGGATTGTTTAAGGATTTTCAAAAATGATAGCTGACATGACAGCTTGAAAAGAAAGCCTAATGGGTAGCATGAGACAGCCAAAGGACAGGAGTGAAGAGCTATGACCTCCTTTGAAGCATTGTCTAGCTTGGTCTGCAATCAGTGCAAGCACAACAGTCTGTGTTGTTTGTCTATTTTATTATTATTATATTTATTTATCATATATATTTATTATGTATGATGTTATTATATATATATATTGTGAATGCAGTGTTGTCATTCGCAGTGAAATGCTGAAAAACTGACCCCACCAACAACAACTGGCATGGAGGTTTCCATGCACCAGGAGAAAAGCTGTGTGAGGTGCAGAGGAACCCGAGTTAGATTACAAAGGAGACTCCAGATACATGTTCAGGCAGAGGACCAGGGCCTGCAGCAACACGCACGTAGCAACTGGTGCCAGTGGGAGGGCCGTGCGGGCTGTGCTAACCATGGTGTGAGTCCTTTGTTCTCTTTACACAGGTACAGAGGCCTGCCATCTGCACCCAATTTGTGCCAGCCCTTCTGCCTAAATCACTACTAGGATAAATTGGGTCCAGAAAGCTTACAGAGCTGTTAACACATGCGTAATTTAATCAGCCCCTCGATCATTTCAGGTCTGTTTCCCAGGAAGGACAGGTTTTAAGCCCTTTGACTAGTGTTTAGCTTTAATGATCTGTCCATTTTTCTTCTTATAGACCAAATAGTAAATGAAAAAAGAAAGGATGGGTAGATTTTTCTATGAAGAATTTTTATAGAATCATAGAATAGAATCATAGAATGGTCTGGGTTAGAAGGGACCTTAAAGATCACCTGGCTCTAACCCCCTGCCATAGGCAGGGACACTTCTCACAATACCATGTTGCAAAAAGCCTCATCCAACCCGGTCTTGAACACTTACAGGGATGGGGCATCCACAGCTCCTCGGTGCAACCTTATTAAGACATAGCTCTTTTTATATAAGTATATTCTTATAGGTGAATGCAAATAATTCTTCATAAAATTTATTAGGTTGCACATAGCTGCTTCAAACTGGTTTGTCTCCAGTGACTTCACAAGCATCTTTTGTCTCAGCTGAACACTAGGTCTATCCTAGTAAGCTTTTGTTTTCCCTGCAGTTTTGAACTCATGGGTTGCCATCCCTTGAAAGGATTTGGCTACTTTGCCATAAGTAATCTGCCTGACAGCAGACTCAAAACTTCCTTGCATTTATACTTTGTTTTAATCATGCATTAATATCCTGGTCCTTCTGCTCCTTTGAGGTGATGTAGTACAATGCTTTTCCTTGGCCTCTCACTGGCCAGCAGAAAGGATAGGAAATGAGATTAGAAGTAGAGAACTACATTAGTCACCAGTGAGCTTCTGAATTCTGCAGTTTGGCCTCTCACATATGAATTATGCAAAGATAAAACTTTGTCTGATGGATAAAGAGTATTCATACATTGTTTTGAAAATATGGAGCTCCACACATAGTATAGTGTATGTAAGAGAACTTAATTTGACTTACTATCCCATTTTATTTCATTGCTTTACTATCATAGCAGCGTTCGGAGCTGGGTGAGGTGTTCTCAAGGGACGTAATGACTCATGTCCTCAGAAGCTTACTGGCTTCAAAAAAAAACCTTAATAAGCAGTGTAGCAAGGAAAGAGAGGAAAAACTAATAACATTAGAACATGTCATGCACAACACAAGGAAACTGAAGCTTTTTTTTTATTATTGTATAATTTAAAAGGCTGAAAGAAATCTTGATTTAACAATCACAAAAGTGTTTTTTAAATGTGCACTAACTCAAAAAAAAAGGAAGTCATATAAACATGCTGTAAGACCAAAGATCTTGAATGCAGCAGCTGTCTGTCAGATGGCTCAGAAGCAGAGCAATGCATATGCAGCAGAGAGCTGAGATCACGTAGTTACTCATTCTCTAAATAAGCACTGTGTTGCACAGAGCAATGTTCCACATAGAACATGTGGTAGCTTCTCACATTTTCCAGCACTGCATGAGACAACAGGATTAAAAAGCTTAAACTTAAGTGATCAGAAAAAATGGGATATTGGACTGTCCACTGAATTTTATTTTTCTATATTGTTATCGTTAGTGTATAGCAAGCAATGGATTTATCTTGCACCCAGCTGAGCTGAAGTTATCTGCAGTGGTACTATATAAATCCAGCTGTGTATTTGCAGTATATTTACACATTTATACTAAAAAAAAAATCACCAATCTCTTATCCCTCTATCAGAAATTAAATTAAAAAGTCCAGCTTTAAGCAAAGTTTACTTACCAGACCAAACCCGAAGTTCATGATATAATGAAAAAGGTAAAGCTTTTTGTACTGACTCATTCCAGGCGGGATTTTTGCCTTGGGGTGTTCATAATAGAAAGACATTGCCACAAGGACAGCCAAAACAACCAGAAAAATTGTGAAGAAAAGTTCCATCTTGCTGTACTGTTAGGAGTCAAGTGGAAGAAGCAGCTGTGACCTCCTTCCCACTCTGACTTTGGAAGTATTTCTGAAGGTAAAGGCGCAGGTCTAGCAATTCTCTTCATATCCCATCATCCAGCTCTTAAAAATCCCAATAGGAAGATGAAAGCATGTGGCAATCAAACCATACAATTAAATAGATAGTAACAATTAGTCACAAGGGAGGCTTGCATAAGTTTTTCATATTTACAGCTTACATGTTTTGATTCTGTGCCCATTACCGTAGAACCAGTGCTTGGCGTATCTGTAGCATCAGTGTTACAAGAAGACAAAAACTTGTTATGTCTCTGCCTATTGCTTGAATACAGTCAAGCCTGGATCTTTTCTGAGTTCCTGTGGAATAGGATTTTTTAGCCATCTCCTTCAGAGCTGTTCAGTTTCTTGTTTTCTTGTGCCTCCATGCCTTTTTAAGACTTCCAGTGAAATCTAAGTTTCGGTGTTGTGAACATCTCATCTCTCTTCACCTTTTATTTGGTGCCTGTCATATAAATTACTTGTTTGTGTATCTATACAAATACACATAAACCTCTGCTGATGTATGCATCTACCCCACCCCTGATCCTTTAGCTTAGAATGGAGTCTTTTCAAAGCAAGGGTAGTATTTTGTTTGGGTTTTTATATAGCACTGTTAGGATTTGGTTTTGAGAGCATTTGAATATGATTGCATTATTGCTAAAATAATAATAGTGGAACAGCTGACAAACAAGCCAAAAGAAAAAAAAAATACAGCTGTTAAAAAACAGAAGCATCTCCAGTGATAATATTTAACTCTGTGAGTGTCTGACAGCGTCCTTTCTGAAGGATATAGGGGCGGTTATGTAACTCCTGGTAAGAGTATTATCAGATGTGAATCTGCTCTGCTGAAGTCGACAGAGCTAGGCTGATTTTTATTAGCTTTGGATTCAAGACCTGCAGTAGAGATTGATCTCAAATTATGTATGACAGTTTTGTGTGAAGAGGTATATTATAGGTAACTGCACGTTATATGTAGCACTTAGAAAATTTATTTCTGATAGGTCTTACAGGCAATTCCTAATTACATGAAGGTCACCTCCAGACAGATACAAGCATCATTAGGGACTCTCAGATTTCAGGTGAGATGGTGTTAGTGTATTTCCTAACATTTCTCATTCACAGAGGGCAAGTAAAATATTTATGTGGTACTCGGATTCAACCAAAGCACTGAAATATACCTTACAGGGGTTTTAAATGGTGACTAGTCTCTGTGCTTTTTGCAGGGGTGAATATCACAGTAATTTAGTATTGGAGTTTGTGAACTGTGCAACAAATAAAAAGGAAACCCATTCCCAACAGCTCCCTTTGTGGCTGTCTTGGCTCCAGCTCAAACCAGAATTGCTCTTTGGGATGCAGCTTGATAAATTGATTGATAGATTGACTGATTTTGTACACAGTCATGCAATTACATCTTTGAATGTAATATAACTAGATGCAGCTGCAGTCTGAAGTATCAGTGGTTTGCATCTTGATTGTTCCTCGTTCGTATCTTCTTTCCAGCAGGTCAAAGCCTGTGCCAACTGTTTTCTTTGGTTATTTTGGTGATGGTGTTTTTTCAGCAGTCTCTTGGTTGAGCCTACTGCAGTCTCTGTCTTCTCATGAAAGTGTTGCTTACAGATATCATTTCAGGTAGAAATATAATTGCAGCTGATGAAAACTAGACCTGAACTTGATGGTTTCAGGACTAATAGCAAAGACTAGACATCAGCAGCCTTCTCTTTTCTGTGTATTCCGTGTGCCTCCCTCTGGAAATAACATGCTTGTATTCTTCAGCACACAAATCATTAGTTCCAAGATTTAACCTGAAACAAACAAAAATCTGTAAAACAAAGCTTTTTCAGTGCATATGATGTCACCTTTGGGAACTGCGTCTCTTTACCAGTCTGCTCAAACTGTGAAGGCAACAGGTTCTCTGGAAAGTAGCAGTATGGGTAAAATGAGTGTTTTTTTCCTTCCTTCCTTCCTTCCTTCCTTCCTTCCTTCCTTCCTTCCTTCCTTCCTTCCTTCCTTCCTTCCTTCCTTCCTTCCTTCCTTCCTTCCTTCCTTCCTTCCTTCCTTCCTTCCTTCCTTCCTTCCTTCCTTCCTTCCTTCCTTCCTTCCTTCCTTCCTTCCTTCCTTCCTTCCTTTCTTTTTCCTTCAAAAAGAGAGTACAATGGATAGGCTGACCTTGAGATGTATGTTAAAATGAAACTTAAACTCAGAGAACCCCAAAGCTTTAGAATGCACAATGTATGACCTGCACAGGAAAAAAAGACCTCATGCTTAATTTCTGACTTCAGAAACTGTTTAGTAGTTGTTTAGAATAAACAAGAAGGAAGTTAATTTTAGAGTGTGGAGATTCACTCTCTGAGAAGAAACTCCATGTTCTGCTTCATCTGCCCAAACTGTTTGTTCATGTTATCCAGCAACACTTTGGCAACTTTCATATCCCAAGATCCCATTCTCTTTCTCTCCCTTGCCAGAAGGTTGTTTACATGCTTTGTACAAAATCTAATTCCTTTTTGTTTATTCTTTCATGCAGCACTTGTGTCAGCCAGCTCAATAAGGGATATTGGTGAAAGGCACATTGCCTGTAGCCTGGAGATTGGGATGCTCTCTTGGGAAATGGAAGGAGAAAATTCAGACCTATCACGACTGAGGTGCATATCAGCTTTCTCACAGCTCAGACAAGAACATTAGGAAATAGCATTGCACAAAATGTGGTTGCAGCTCCCTTCTGTAGCATCTAATAATGAAAGTAATTATTCAGCTTTGTGCTAAATTTCATGCTGTCCCAATGACTTAGGTGTGGTCTAAGTATGCCTATCAGATTTGGCCCCTCTGGCAACCTCAGCAGTCTTCTGACACCTGTGACAGAACATTTGTTTTAAAGTTCTTACCACCTATAGATCAGCTGTTTTCAAATCTTTTTGCTGCCACTTTACCAAGAGCTGGTAACTCTTGGACTCTTACGGACACATTAAGTAGGTGCAGATATCACAGCACCCCACCAACACCCAGTCATCACTGCTAGAGCTTCCATGTAAAAACTCTTCTAGAATCTGGATATCAGCAGTAAAAGAAACAAACTAGTTGGTTCATGAAGTAAGAAATTAGTTTTCTTTGGGCATTGCATGTACATGGAGTAACATTTAACATTTTATTAGCACAAACATCAGGAATTCATAAGCTTACTTCAGTCTCAGGATGGGACTTTTCAACCTAAATAACCTTTCCAAACACATGCTCTGTTTCTCCAGCTTCTGCCTTTTTAACTTTATCTCTCACTCCTGTAGAAGAGACCCCAGGAATTTGTCCCTGAGGCCAAAATCCCGTTTTCTCCTGCCTCAGGATCTTCCTTTCTTACTGATTTCCAGTGTAGGGCTAAATGCCAGTACCTGAATCATTCTTGTCAACATTGTCAATATCTTAAGCTTTTACTCTGTTGTGCATCTGCACATGCTAGGGGAGACTGAGTCAGCTGGAACAGACATGAAAGCTTCCCTCACGTAGTCTTCAGGTGGTCACAAGATCTCTCTGCCTGTTTCTAAATCACGGTGCTGCTGAGGTGACCTGCCAAGACTCGGGCACACCAGTTGCCAATGGACGCCTCTGCTCAGGTGCTGGAAGAGGGCTCCTTAGGGGAGGTGCTGCTGGACCCAAGAAGCTCCTGTTAAGTCCTGCATAGCAGGAGTGCCATCTGGTGCTGAAAAGCTGAACTTGGAAGCTGAACTCCCCCCGTCGAATCCTCACCAGCACACACTTAGTGCCATTAGCTGTAAACTTGCAGGCAAAGTACTGACAAACTCTGCTAATGGCTTGTTTTGTGCCTGCTTGTAACTATCTGTATTTCTTTGCATGCATAATTCCTTGGGGAAAAGGCATTTGTGTGCATAATTCTGTAGGCACATTGCAAGTCTGGGATTTTGCTTTAAGTACTTGACTGTAGCTCATTGAACATGCAGGCAGTGAGAGGGACATGCTGTTAGAAAGTGCTTGAGTGAAGAGGAGATTAAAAATTATGTTGTGTCTTTCCTTAGAAAATAGGAAAATATGTAAATGAGTGATAATTTTGAAAGCTAATTCCACACTTTGGATATTATAAAGTGGTTTATATGAACAAGTTCATAGGAACATATGAAATGTTTATATGAGCAAGCATTCTATCTCAAGAATGTGAGACACGTAGCAGATCTATAATTAATTAAATCAGAGGACGGGAGGTTCCATGGAGACAATTAGATCTTGCTACTTTCTAAAATTCAGAAAATATTGGAGTCATTATTTAAAAAGGAACACACTGTTTCTGTACTTGCTGTTCTCTGCTTACCCATCTGCATTACCATGGTTATAACCTTCTATACAGATTAAAATGCATGTGTTAAAAAGAGCTAGTAATACTGAAGACATTATAAAGATAAATTGATTAACTTTTGTGGTAAATTAAGACCTACAGATAAAGGACCATGGCAAAACCTCAGGAGTAGATCAGTGCAGAATTTGGAGAGTGGGCCATAAGTGATGCCTAAGTCCAGACATTGAGTAATGAAAAGAAAATTGGTATGGATTGCTGAACTGGCTAGGAGTAGAACACTCAGGGCAATGAATTCCCGTATCGTCTGTACTGGCAGAGTTCTGCAGTGTTCAGAAGGACAACAAAAGCAACATGATGACCAAGCAGAGAAGTATATTTCCAAATGGGGAGGGCTACATGGGGAATGCCTTTCAGTCTTCTGTCCCTGAAACACCTCTGCTCTGCTGGTCACTAGTATGGCATGGGAAAGAGGCTGTCTTTCAGGGAACCCATTATTTAGGTACAAGAAGAGTGAAATAGTTTACAGAAGATTTTGCTCAGTACAGTCACAGTTTGGAAGGTGGGGAAGTGGCAGAGGAAGAATTTTGGAGTACTATATATAGGCATATTTGGGTGGTTTTGCCAAGAGCCACAAAGATGTTTATATGGTATTTATCAGCGGCAAACTATCTATCCACCTATCTATCTATCTACCTATCTATCTATCTATCTATCTATTGCAAAAGTTAATTATCAGTTGTGCAGTGGTTTCGAAATACTAGGTGGATGAAGAGGATTAAGAATGTTACAGGGTAATGCAATAGGCTGAGCTTGTTGTTAGTCA